TCGGGGCCGTTCAGCGCCTTACTCACAAAGTATATTGGCCGCTGAACGCCTTCAGACTCCTTCAGCAGCACGGCATTTACGGCCAGATCGGCTACTGCCAAATACATGTACAATCTCTCCCCGGGATCCGCTTTGGTGAGGACGAGCGGAGAGGAGAGATATACCTTGAAATCCTCGAAAGCAGCCTGACACTCCGGGGTCCATTCGAAGGGATTGGCCTTCTTCATGATCTGGAAAAAGGGAATCGCCTTATCAGCCAGCTTGGATAAGAATCTGCTCAGGGCCGCCAGACGCCCGGTGAGCCGCTGCACGTCTTTTAGGTTCTTTGGGGCCTCCATGTCCATAATTGCCTTCACCTTCTCCGGGTTAGGCTCGATCCCCCGCTCGCTCATCATGTAGCCGAGGAACTTGCCGCCCCTGACGGCGAAGGCACACTTCTTCGGATTGAGCCTCATGCTGGCCCTCTCCATGATGCTGAAGACCCTCTCCATGTCCTGGACATGGTCCTCCTTTCTCTTGCTCTTGATCAGGATGTCATCCACGTAAGCTTCCATTGTCTTCCCAAGTACGTCTTTGAACAACATCCCAATCATCCTCTGAAAAGTAGCCATGGCGTTCCTTAGGCCGAACGGCATGACGATGTAGCAATACACGCCGTCCGCCGTAACGAACGCCGTTTTTTCGGCATCATCGGGGTGCATGAACACCTGATGGTAGCCCCTGAATGCGTCCATGAAGCTGAGCAGCTCGCAGCCTGCCGTCTCATCCACCAGCAAGTCGATCCTCGGAACAGGGTAAGGATCCATCGGACAAGCTTTGTTGAGGTCCGAGTAATCGACGCACATCCGCCAAGTGTCGCCCTTCGGGGCTAGTACCACGTTGGCCAACCACTTCACGTGGATGACCGGCCGGATGTGTTTAATGCTAAGGAGAGTTGCTGTCTCCTTCCTGATGAAATCGCGTCGGTCGGCCGCCATATACCTTTTCTTTTGTTGTACGGGCTTGGCGTCCGACCGCACGGCGAGTCTATGGCATATGAGGTTGGGGTCGATGCCCGGCATGTCCTCCGGCCCTCTGGCGAACAAGATCCTGAACCTTCGGAGGACGGCTATGACCCCCGCTCTGATTTCCGGCTCTAGATCTGCACCGATGGATACCCTCCTGTCCGTCGGGTCGTCGAGCTCGATTTCTTCCAGCAGAGTTGCTGGTTCCAGATGAGCGTCCAAGTCGGCCTGTTTGGCCTTCTCGGAGATGCTGTTGACCCGAGCCTCCCGCTCGTTGAGCTTCTCCATGGCCTTCGTGTAGCAGGCCCTGGCCATATGCGGGTCCGTACGTGCTACCCCCGCTCCAGTGTCGGTGGGGAATTTGATGCATGAGTGCCGTACGGAGCATATGGCCCCCAAGTCTTCCAAGCCGGGTCGGCCCAAAATGGCGTTGTAGGCGCATTTTAGGCGGACCACGACGAACGTCATCCCGATCCGGGCGGTGTGAGGGCCGTCGCCGATCTCTACCGGCAAGATGATGGTGCCCTCCGCGTCAATGCAATCCCCAGTGAAGCCGGACAGCGGGGTACGCAGAGGGTGCAGCATGTCCTTCTTGAACTTCATTCCCTCGAAAGCCTCCCAGTAGAGGACGTTCACACTGCTCCCGGTATCGACAAGGACGCGGCGGACGATGGCATCGTTTACGTCCATGCTGATCACCAGCTCGTCTCTGTGCGGCGCTGGTGACATCGGCAGATCGGCGGGACCGAATGTGATTGCCTCGATTTTGTTGCGCTTGGTGGGGGGTGCTGATACGGAGCCCACATAGAGTGATCTCTCAAATATTTTCCGCTCAGCGGGTGTATCCCCTGTCTCAGCGCCCCCGAAGATCACCTTGATCTCCAGCTTCTTCTTCTTGCCCTTCGGGTCAAGGGATCCCTCCGGACGTTTATCCGCACTTCGATAATCCACATCCTGGGGCTCTGCCTCGCGCCGGTCGTCGCGGCGCCATGTTCGGGGCCTTGGGTTCGGCTTCTGCTGGCTGTTTTTGTTCAGCAGCTGGGTGAACTCGCCCAAGTACCCCTGACGGATCAGCTCGTCGATTGCTTTCTTTAGTTGGCTGCAATTGTCCGTCAGGTGGCCGGCCCTCTGATGGTATTCACAGTAGGCCGATTGGTCAAGCCCCATATGCTTCTTCATATCCTGGGGTTCCATCAGGAGGCCCTTGTCCTTGATGGCCTCAAAGACTTGGCTCACTGGATAGGCCAATGGGACATAGCGGTCGTCCGGCCGCGTTTGACTATCTCCGGACGGAGCCTTCCAAGGGACCATCGCTCCGTCCACCTTCTTCTTTTTGTTTGGGGGGGAGGGCCCGGGTCCCGGTCTGGGTCCGAGCCTGTCCGCCATCTTCCGTGGCTGGGCCGCGGAAACTCCGTCCCGCTGCCTGATCTCCTCCTCAATGGAGGCATACTTCTGGGCCCGAGCCAGAACCTCGGTGTAGCTGGTGCCGGGATTCCTCCTTAGGTCCCGGTATAGATCCCCTGTGGCCAGCGCACTGGTGAACATGTTGGTGGCCAGACGTTCGTCCAGATCGTCGACCTGCAGGACCTCGTCCCTCCACCTTACCAGGAACCTAGCCAGAGGTTCGTCCCGCCCTTGTTTGATGTGGGCGAGAGCCGTGACGTCCTTCCTGGGGGTGGTACTGGCAGCAAACTGAGCCATGAACTGCCGGGAGAGCTGTTCATATGAGTCGATGGTGCCCGGCCTCAACTGGCCGAACCATTCTTGCGCCGGCCCCCTGAGGGTGCTGAAGAACAATCTGCAGATGGCCTCGTCCGATGCTCCCAACATGGACAGGTTCCCTTGGTAGCTTATCAGATGGGCCTTAGGATCGCCAGCCCCATTATACACCAAGTTGCCCGGGGGCCTGCAGTCCCGGGGAATCTCGACGCTCATCACCCGTGGAGTAAAGGGTGATGTGAGGGAGAAAGAGGGTGTGGCTGAGCCGACGTCCGTCCGTCTATTCATCTCGGCTATCTGCCGTTCCATTGCTTCCAGCCTTGCATCCTGTGCGGCCCTTCCGGGGGACACAGGGGGCGCGGCTTCGGGGACGGCATTCTGCTGAGCGGCCACAGCATCGTGCGGCCGCCTAAAGATCTGCGCACCTCGCCGTTGGAAACGTCGTCCAACGGTGTTGATCCTTGGGGTTTCGTCTCCCCGCGGGATTTGGCGGGGAACCGATGGCGTGTGAGCCCTGGATGCAGCGATGCTGACCCTGGTTCGCCCTCCCGTTTCACGGGAGCCTGAACCCCCACCTAGCCGCTCATGGACTGAGGGCCAGTGGTCGCTGGATCCCGTCGTATCATCATATGACTGCATGCGGCGAATGGGAGAGAGGGGCGTTCGCTGGGTGCTTGCAGAGTACACCTGATCTCGGGCCTCCCGTTCGTCTGCCAAACGGCGCATGGTGTCAGCGAGTTCCCGCATGAGGCGGGGATCCTGCCTGGCCTCAAGGGGAATGAGGTCAGTGATGCCCCCGTTTCCCCCGGAGGTCCATATCGTTGCGGACAGTTCCGAGTTCTGGCCGCGATTCCGGCGGCTTGACTCCAGACGCTCGGAGAGATCACGCTGGTTGTTGCTTCCTGACATCGTGTTTGCTGTAGGGGGGATTAGTAGCTGTTTGGGAGAGTTTCTGGAAACTTTTTGTTCAGGTTCCCACAGACGGCGCCAGTGTTGAAGTTAATTCCTTCAACCCTTGGACCCAACACGTAAGCCCAAAGATTTCGAGTGGAGTGAGTGTATGGATACCTAGCCCAACAGCTATCAGATGGATCAGGAAACAAAAGAAATAGCAGGCAATGTAAATAGGTATTATTAACTTCGTAATAACTCCCCTAAGTACAATCTACTTGCTAAAAAGGCACGTCGGCCGTTCGTCTTACAAGGCAGTTAGAGATGCTACAAGTAAGAATGCTGAAGCTAGTATGCTAAGAATAGAAAGTTGCCAACCCTTTACAATGAAATAAATGCTTCTATTTATACCCACCAATGGGCAGGTGGCTATACTGACGTGGCAGCCTGTGGACCGCTGGTGCCCCAACCACCAAATCTTCAGCATTAAATGCACTTCCCGCCAGAATCTAGGTTTCCCGCCTAATCAGTGGGGACGTTCGTCCGCCCGGGAAGTGAGTTGGATCGCCCCAAGTGACCCTCAAGAGATACCGGCTGTTCGTCTCCTGGCCTTGATAGATACTCACCATGTGGACTGGGTTTCCTCCGATGGCTATAGGCTTGCCATGGGGACGTTCGTCGTCATCCCTGGTGGCCCGTGGCCCTGCCCCTTGTGTGACACCGCACCCGAATGTCCTTGGAGATTTGATTTAGATATTCAAAGTTTATGTATTGGATTTTTTATTCCCGAACAATTTGTAAAACGATTAATGTTCTACGTAGTGCATGGTTGAATATCGTACTGTTCAAACTCGTACACTAGTGTCGGGTTTCGCAAATACTTATTCGGGACTTATTAATAAATAAAAGAGCCCAATAATACGTATGACAAATGTCAAATAAGTGATTGAATGATTAAGGAAGAATACAAATGCCTATAACCCCACCTTGGGCCTTATTGAGCTAAATAATGGGAGTAGGATTTTCCTTCTGTAATATTCATCAAGTAAATTATTGGGACGAGCCTACACATATTGGAGATCAATAATGTGATTTAGGAAGTTGACTTGTTCTAAGTAAATTAGGATGAGTACAAAAAGACATTTTTGACAAAGATAAAACAATAGGACCCATCTTCCCATTTTTGGAAGTATTGGTAGATATTTTGGACCCCAAATTTAATGGGATCAATTGGGAACCACTCCACATGATATTAGTACCTGCAAGACAAATAAAAATGGGTTAGGAAACTTACCTTGGCCGACCACCATGGAGAGGAGCTGCACAAGACTTGATAGGAATCAAATTTTGGGGCCACCACCACTGTTTTCGCACAAACAGGTGTGCTGTTTTGTCTCCCTTCATTTTGAGAGTTGTACTCGTCCAAATGAGGTGTATAAGGTGTCCTTGGATAGCCTTTGAAGTCTAGTATCTCAATTGAGTGGTCTTTGTTCGAGGAGAGAAAGATTATCTTACAAAAATCGAGCTGGAGTGAGTGGTGGTCTGTGAACTCGAGCTGTGAGGGTGCTGAGACTGTTTGGTTGATATCTCGAGTTTTACCAATCCAATTAAGGCGTATGAGATACCAAAAGAAAGCTCTCAAGACGAGGAATCCGTGAAGGTCTGGTTTGCATCAATCGGAGTAGAGGAAGGCTTCCAAATCGTCCGAGCAAAAAAACACAACCTCGCAGAAACGGATTTACTCTTCTAAAGTGAGTTGTTAACCCCAAATCCTTTCCATTCATTTTCCAAATGATATGAACGATTGGTGGGACTATTGTACACTAATCCAAGTGTATAATATGTCCTTGAAAAGTTATTTTATTGATGTAAAGGTTAGATACTAACCTAGAGCAAATATTGGAAAACTAGGAATCGAGTTAGCTGGAAAACACCCGTTCTAGGGGCTGTTTTCGTATCAACGATTAGGGGTTGAAATAGCAACTTGAGGAAGCTGTTTAACACCCATTTTCAAGCAAGGAACCAGTTCTCAATCTTCCTTGGCCGAGGCTTTGGTCATTGGATCGAGAAGGAAGGTTTTAAAAGCTCATTTGAGGTGAGGACCGACATCTAGTTGCTTACAACTTGTAGGTTATGCATGAGATTACCTAAATGCTTAAATCATGTTTTTGTGAATAAATATGCTTGAACATGATATGAATGATAAGTAATGGACTTGATCATGAATTGAAACCATATTGATGAATATGGAGTTATGTGAGATAAAGGTATGTTAATATGGTAAAATGACCTTTCCAACTCGTGTATGAATGTTATGCGTATGTAAATGTATAGTTACATGATGATGCTTAGCACATGGGAGGCTGCCACATATCTATTGATATGGAGGGGCTACCATTAAGAATAAATGAGTTGTAGGAATAATCTTAATAGTATTGTGATGCTAGTTAAGGATTGTTCTAAATGTTGATAGAATCAAACTTAAGGTTTGAGTTGTTTGTGATGAACTTGAATGAGATTCAAGTGTCAAGTGTGATATCATGGAGTAGGAGATCTATGGTGTGATTGTATGAAGTAGGAGATCTATGGTGTGATTGTATGAAGTAGGAGATCTATGGGGTGAATACATGAAGTAGGAGATCTATGGTATGATTATATGAAGTAGGAGATCTATGATGCGAGTGCATGATGATGTACTCGAGCCTAACTCTAGAAATGAGAAGTTATATTAGGGTTGGACCCTATGTATTGTCGTGACTATTAGTCACGGGGTTTGGGAAATGTTTTATAACAAACACGGGCCTTTGAGCCGATTACTTGACTTTATATAAAGTAAGTATGTATTTTGAAAGGGGTAATCTGGGATTACGGCCTATACTATATTATCACCCTATTTGAGGGTCTTGTGTGTGAAATACTTGTTGTATATCTATTAGATGCCTGCCACACCAGCACTTTATAGCCCTATAGAGTGCTGACCCCTTCGGGGGCGTCCCACCACCATTTTTCAGGTTGAGGCTAGAGCTTGCTTCCTGTGCTCGTTGCTCGAGAGATCATATAGGAGGGAAGACTTGGTTCGTGCTTCCTCCATTCTGTTTTTAAACATTAATAAACATGCTCATGGATATTTTACTGTAGAGCCTGCGTGCTCATGAATAGCCTTGTGTGGCCCCTTTCGTTTTAAACAATGTTTTCCGCTGCGTTACGAATTACTTATTATGTTTGTTTATGGATGTGTATGTGTGAATGATATTCAAGACGCCTTGTATATTATGAATGTGTTGGACTGCGGTTGACTATTCATATTGTACGGCGGGTTGTTGACGTGTCCGGATAGGTCCGGGGCGTGACAATTAAGTTGGTATCAGAGCCTTAGTCCATAAACTTCATAATGAAGTCTCAAAATTCTCTTTTTGAAAAGATTTTGAAAACCATGAGCATAGAAGTTTTGTACTTGGAGAGCTTTTGGTACTTGGGTTGCAAGGTCTCTAATTGTTAAGATGGTACCCTTAGCAATTGGTATGGCGGTGACTCGAGCCAAAATGTGTCTTAAGTACCTATCCGTCAATTGACATTTGATACGAGTCTAACGACTCTTTCCAAATTTCTTTCAGAAATGGACCGTGGTGGCAGGATTACTAGGAGAAACCCAACGGGCCGTGTACCAGTGGAGACTGGACAGGGCAGTCGAAGGACCTCTAGGGCATCTAGAGGAGCTGGCCGTGGAGGCCGATCACAGACCGTGAGTGACGGTCATGTCGACACAGAAAGTGAAACCTACTGGTCCTACGAGGACTCGACTTACCAACCGGAAACCGAGCCGGTTGAGACCCCTTACGAAGGGGATGACGATGATGTGAGTGATGAAGAAGGGGAGAATGACTCCCTAGCAAGAATTGAGGCGCTACTCCAACAATATCAGCGGGAGCGCGAGGAAAGGAGGGAACGCCGAAGGCGCCGAGGAGGGCGAACTTCGGGTGGGGCTTCAAGAGGAAGAAGCCATGGAGACTCTAGGGCCCACATTGAACCACATGGGGGCCGGGGTGATGGAGGTCCGATCATAAGGATCTCCAAATACCTCAAAGAGGCACGAGACTTGGGGTGCAAACCCTTCAAAGGAGCGGGTGACATCTCGGTTGCCGCCGAATGGATCAAGAGGTTGAACGAAGCAGCCCTTGATATGCAACTCACCCCCGAATTTAAACTAAGGGTGGCGGTGAGGTTGCTTGAAGGGATGGCATCCACATGGTGGGACGGAGCCAAGGGAAAGTATGGCAATACCGTGACTTGGGAGGAGTTCCGACAGGAGTTCTTTGCCCAATACTATTCTGATTTTGAGGTGAACAATAAGAGGAGAGAGTATACCCTCCTGACCCAAGGTGGCACGATGACGGTGAGGCAACTTGAACACAAATTCAGGGAACTCGCGGAATTCATACCGGAGTACATATGTGATGAGAACCGGATGGTGAATCACTTCTGGGATGCCTTGGACCTTGACATACGCGAGAGGGCAACACAATTGCCTAATATGACGTTTAGTCAAGTGGTTGAACAAGGCCTGAAGGGAGAGAAGGAGTGGGAGGAAAGAAAACGAAGGAACGCCGAGGAGGCGAAGAAGAGGAAGTAGGAGAGTCACGGCTCCCAAGGTTCCAACAAAAAGGGGAACCATGGAGGGGGATCTTTCCGTGCACCTCCGCCACCATCTAGGGGGAACCAGGGCTCGAGCAGGCATGACTCGGGGTCACAAGCCTCGGGGACGCCTCGTTGCTTGAATTGCAAGAAGAGTCACCTCGGAAAATGCCGTGAACCTCCTAGATGCTTCCAATGCGGGAATACCGGGCATTTGAAGGCGCATTGCCCACAATTGGGCGGGGCAAGGTCATCGGGACTAAGTAGCGGGGCCACGGGGACGAGAAACCAAGCCCGGGGTTCCCAATCAACTAGGGGGCATGGAGGAGCAAGCGCGAGCAACGCGCCATCGGTGAATCAAGAAAGGACTCAAGCTAGAGTCTATGCGATGACGGAGGCGGATGCCCAGGCTAACCCAGATTCGGTTGCAGGTATGACCGCTTAGCTCCTCTTGCTTTACACATTCCTCATCCATAAATGGAAGTTATAAATCCTAGAATCCAGGTGGGAGCAGACGTAAGACCGAAATGAGAAAGGAGAGCAAAACCATGCTACTACCCGACCGGGTAGGGCAATAAACCCTACCGGGTGGGACGAGCTTTTGCCCTCGTAAACCTTCTGGATCGCATACCCGATCGGGTTTGGTAATGAACCCGACCGGGTAGGCCAAGTTTTTGCACTCATAAGTCCACTCGAACACATACCCGACCAGGTATGGTGGTATACCCGACCGGGTTTGTCAAAAATTTCTGCCCGACACCTTCTGGAACACATACCCGACCGGGTATGGTGGTATACCCGACTGGGTTTGTCAAAAATTTCTCCCCGACACTTTCTGGAACACATACCCGACCGGGTATGGTGGTAAACCCGACCGGGTTTGTCAAAAAAATTCTGCCCGAACCCACTGGAACTTATACCCGATCGGGTATAGTATGTTACCCGACCGGGTACACCTCGAAGTGTTCGTCAAATGAAAAAGTTGTCTTCATGAAAGTTGTAGATATTTTCATTGTCTAAATGATGGAATTTGAATCGAACGATTTGGTTAAGTATGTGAAGAGATATGATCAAAACGGTGAGACAGTGTCAATTTATATCTCAACTGCGAACGTCAACCATAACTGGGGGATTTTGCCCACTTTAAGGACATGATTTCGCATTATGTTCTTCGTAGGATTGGTCGGTATGCTAGAGAGGTATCTTACATGGCTTATAAATGTAGGAACACTAAAGATTAATGGGAGATGTGCGAGAATCCTCATCGATACCGGGGCGCAACGATCATTTGTGAGTGAGGCATTCGCCGGGGGATTCAACGCACCCCTAGTACCGATGGCTCAAGCCCTATTGGTATCCACACCCCTAGGGGAAGACATCGAGAGAGATAGCCACTATCCATCGTGTGAGGTGGAAGTGGAGGGCCAAAACTTGTCGTGTGATTTCGTGCCGCTGAGTATGATTGAGTTCGATGCAATCCTGGGGATGGATTGGCTTGAGAAGCATCATGCTAGGGTCGATTGTTACACGAAAGTACTTGAACTCGAAGGCAATGAAGGGGTAACCTTACGCTTCGAGGGGGATAGGGCGAAATCCAATAGTTGTATCATATCCGCTGTGAGGGCTAAGAATATGATGAGGAAGGGATGTCACGCATATCTAGCGTATGTGGTGGACAAAACCAAAGAAGAGACGAGCATTGATGATGTTAGGGTAGTATGCAAGTATCGGGACGTCTTTCCTAAAGACTTACCGGGACTTCCACCCGATAGGGAGATTGAGTTCGTGATCGAGGTCGAGCCCGGCACCAAACCAATCTCCATACCGCCGTACCGCATGGCACCCGCTGAACTTAACGAGTTGAAAACCCAATTGCAAGAGCTTTTGGATAACGGTTTCATTAGACCAAGCCACTCCCCGTGGGGAGCACCGGTTCTTTTTGTGAAAAAGAAGGATGGAACACTTCGAATGTGCATTGACTATCGTCAACTGAACAAGGTCACGATCAAGAATAGGTATCCTTTGCCTAGAATTGATGACTTGTTTGATCAACTACGAGGGGCAACCGTGTTTTCAAAGATTGATTTGAGGTCGGGTTACCATCAATTGAAGATTAAGGAAGACGACATACCAAAAAGTGCTTTCCGCACAAGGTATGGGCATTTTGAGTTCCTTGTTATGTCGTTTGGGTTAACAAACGCCCCGGCGGCATTCATGGACTTGATGAACCGAGTATTCCATAAATACTTGGATCGATTCGTGATTGTGTTCATAGATGACATTCTGATTTACTCAAAGAGTGAGGAAGAGCATGAAGAACACTTGATACTCGTTCTTGAGACACTACGGGAGAAGCAACTTTATGCCAAATTCTCTAAATGTGAATTTTGGCTAAAGGAAATTGGCTTCCTCGGGCACGTGGTTTCAGGATCGGGAATTGCTGTTGATAATAAGAAGATAGAAGCCATTACCGAATGGGAGAGACCAAAGAACGTCAAGGAAATTCGTAGTTTCCTTGGACTGGCAGGCTACTATAGAAAGTTCGTGGAGAAGTTCTCTGTTTTGGCATCACCATTGACGAAGCTCACTCGTAAAGGAGCTAAGTTTGTATGGGATGACAAATGTGAGGAGGGGTTCATGGAACTAAAGAAGCGATTGACAGAGGCACCGGTACTTGCATTACTCAAACAGGGTGTGGGGTACGATGTCTATAGCGATGCGAGCATCCAAGGGCTTGGATGCGTGCTGATGCAGAATGGGAGGGTAATCGCCTATGCTTCACGACAGTTGAAGAAGCATGAGGTGAATTATCCTACTCACGACTTGGAGCTGGGGGCTGTGGTGTTTGCACTGAAGATATGGAGACATTATCTCTACGGGGAGACATGTCACATATACACTGATCACAAGAGCTTGAAATACGTGTTTACTCAAAAAGAGCTAAACATGAGACAGAGACGGTGGATGGAGTTGATAAAAGACTACCATCTAGTGATAGAATATCACCCAGGCAAGGCAAACGTGGTGGCAGATGCTTTGAGCCGGAAGAGCTCGTCTGGGGCATTGCTAGCTAATTTGAGGGCATTAAGAGCCCAACTGGAGGTATCCAGCGATGGTGCCTTATTGGCACGATTTGAGGTAAGACCTACTTTACTTGATGAGATCAAGAAGGGTCAAGAGACTGACGCAGAACTTATGAAGGTCCGGGAACGCATGCAAGCGGGACCGGTGGAGGATTTCAGGGCAAGAGATGATGGTCTCTTGTTATTTCGTGACCGAGTGTGTGTGCCGTCAGATGATGAGCTCCGAAAGTCCATCTTAGAGGAGGCTCATTCATCGGCTTATGCCATGCACCCGGGGGGCACGAAAATGTACCGTGATTTGAAAGAAAGTTACTGGTGGTCTGGAATGAAGAGGGAAATAGCCGAGTACATCAGTCGATGCTTTACTTGTCAACAAGTTAAGGCAGAACATCAGCATCCAGCAGGCTTATTGCAGCCACTTTCCATTCCTGAATGGAAGTGGGAACACGTGACTATGGATTTCGTGGTAGGTTTACCACGGACAATCAGGAACTATGATGCAGTTTGGGTCGTTGTGGATAGGCTCACAAAGAGTGCACACTTCTTGCCTATCAACACTACCTACCCACTTGAGAGGTTAGCCAAATTGTATACGGATGAGATCGTGAGGCTGCATGGGGTCCCAGTGACCATTGTATCCGATAGAGACCCACGATTCACATCACGTTTTTGGCCGAAATTTCAGGAGTCTATGGGAACGAGGTTGAAGTTCAGTACTGCTTTCCACCCACAGATGGATGGACAGTCTGAAAGAGTCATACAGATCTTGGAAGACATGCTGAGGGCTTGTGCATTGGAGTTCCAAGGAAGTTGGGACAACCACTTAGCACTTGTGGAGTTTGCCTATAACAACAGTTATCAGGCCAGCATCGGCATGCCTCCATACGAGGCATTGTATGGGAGGAGGTGTCGTACACCGTTATGCTGGGACGAGGTTGGCATGGCCAAACTCGAGGGTACTGAGTTGGTTGAGGTCACCAAATCAAAGGTGAAATTGATTCGAGAGAGACTCAAAGCGGCTCAGGATAGGCAAAAGAGTTATGCAGATAAGCGTCGAAGAACCTTAGAGTTTAAGGTTGATGACGAGGTGTTCTTGAAAGTTTCTCCTTGGAAAGGAATCATTCGATTTCAAACCCGAGGGAAGCTTAACCCACGGTACATAGGTCCATTTAGAATTATAGAGAGGATTGGGGCCGTGGCATATCGTCTACAGTTGACTCCTGAGTTAGAGAAGATACATAATGTGTTTCATGTATCCATGCTTAAGAAGTATGTGCATGATCCCTCTCACGTATTGGAGAAGCCACCTGTAGAGGTACGTGAGGATTTGAACTACGCTGTTCAACCTATCAAGGTCACCGATAGAAAGGTGAAGAAACTGAGGAGCAAGGAAGTCCCAATGGTTAAAGTCCTGTGGAAGAGCGATCAAGTCGAGGAAGAAACATGGGAAACAGAAGCTTTGATGAGGAAGCAGTATGCTTTCCTATTCGAGTAGAGCTGTGAATTTCGGGGACGAAATTCCTATTAAGGGGGGGTGAACTTGTGACACCGCACCCGAATGTCCTTGGAGATTTGATTTAGATATTCAAAGTTTATGTATTGGATTTTTTATTCCCGAACAATTTGTAAAACGATTAATGTTCTACGTAGTGCATGGTTGAATATCGTACTGTTCAAACTCGTACACTAGTGTCGGGTTTCGCAAATACTTATTCGGGACTTATTAATAAATAAAAGAGCCCAATAATACGTATGACAAATGTCAAATAAGTGATTGAATGATTAAGGAAGAATACAAATGCCTATAACCCCACCTTGGGCCTTATTGAGCTAAATAATGGGAGTAGGATTTTCCTTCTGTAATATTCATCAAGTAAATTATTGGGACGAGCCTACACATATTGGAGATCAATAATGTGATTTAGGAAGTTGACTTGTTCTAAGTAAATTAGGATGAGTACAAAAAGACATTTTTGACAAAGATAAAACAATAGGACCCATCTTCCCATTTTTGGAAGTATTGGTAGATATTTTGGACCCCAAATTTAATGGGATCAATTGGGAACCACTCCACATGATATTAGTACCTGCAAGACAAATAAAAATGGGTTAGGAAACTTACCTTGGCCGACCACCATGGAGAGGAGCTGCACAAGACTTGATAGGAATCAAATTTTGGGGCCACCACCACTGTTTTCGCACAAACAGGTGTGCTGTTTTGTCTCCCTTCATTTTGAGAGTTGTACTCGTCCAAATGAGGTGTATAAGGTGTCCTTGGATAGCCTTTGAAGTCTAGTATCTCAATTGAGTGGTCTTTGTTCGAGGAGAGAAAGATTATCTTACAAAAATCGAGCTGGAGTGAGTGGTGGTCTGTGAACTCGAGCTGTGAGGGTGCTGAGACTGTTTGGTTGATATCTCGAGTTTTACCAATCCAATTAAGGCGTATGAGATACCAAAAGAAATCTCTCAAGACGAGGAATCCGTGAAGGTCTGGTTTGCATCAATCGGAGTAGAGGAAGGCTTCCAAATCGTCCGAGCAAAACACAACCTCGCAGAAACGGATTTACTCTTCTAAAGTGAGTTGTTAACCCCAAATCCTTTCCATTCATTTTCCAAATGATATGAACGATTGGTGGGACTATTGTACACTAATCCAAGTGTATAATATGTCCTTGAAAAGTTATTTTATTGATGTAAAGGTTAGATACTAACCTAGAGCAAATATTGGAAAACTAGGAATCGAGTTAGCCGGAAAACACCCGTTCTAGGGGCTGTTTTCGTATCAACGATTAGGGGTTGAAATAGCAACTTGAGGAAGCTGTTTAACACCCATTTTCAAGCAAGGAACCAGTTCTCAATCTTCCTTGGCCGAGGCTTTGGTCATTGGATCGAGAAGGAAGGTTTTAAAAGCTCATTTGAGGTGAGGACCGACATCTAGTTGCTTACAACTTGTAGGTTATGCATGAGATTACCTAAATGCTTAAATCATGTTTTTGTGAATAAATATGCTTGAACATGATATGAATGATAAGTAATGGACTTGATCATGAATTGAAACCATATTGATGAATATGGAGTTATGTGAGATAAAGGTATGTTAATATGGTAAAATGACCTTTCCAACTCGTGTATGAATGTTATGCGTATGTAAATGTATAGTTACATGATGATGCTTAGCACATGGGAGGCTGCCACATATCTATTGATATGGAGGGGCTACCATTAAGAATAAATGAGTTGTAGGAATAATCTTAATAGTATTGTGATGCTAGTTAAGGATTGTTCTAAATGTTGATAGAATCAAACTTAAGGTTTGAGTTGTTTGTGATGAACTTGAATGAGATTCAAGTGTCAAGTGTGATATCATGGAGTAGGAGATCTATGGTGTGATTGTATGAAGTAGGAGATCTATGGTGTGATTGTATGAAGTAGGAGATCTATGGGGTGAATACATGAAGTAGGAGATCTATGGTATGATTATATGAAGTAGGAGATCTATGATGCGAGTGCATGATGATGTACTCGAGCCTAACTCTAGAAATGAGAAGTTATATTAGGGTTGGACCCTATGTATTGTCGTGACTATTAGTCACGGGGTTTGGGAAATGTTTTATAACAAACACGGGCCTTTGAGCCGATTACTTGACTTTATATAAAGTAAGTATGTATTTTGAAAGGGGTAATCTGGGATTACGGCCTATACTATATTATCACCCTATTTGAGGGTCTTGTGTGTGAAATACTTGTTGTATATCTATTAGATGCCTGCCACACCAGCACTTTATAGCCCTATAGAGTGCTGACCCCTTCGGGGGCGTCCCACCACCATTTTTCAGGTTGAGGCTAGAGCTTGCTTCCTGTGCTCGTTGCTCGAGAGATCATATAGGAGGGAAGACTTGGTTCGTGCTTCCTCCATTCTGTTTTTAAACATTAATAAACATGCTCATGGATATTTTACTGTAGAGCCTGCGTGCTCATGAATAGCCTTGTGTGGCCCCTTTCGTTTTAAACAATGTTTTCTGCTGCGTTACGAATTACTTATTATGTTTGTTTATGGATGTGTATGTGTGAATGATATTCAAGACGCCTTGTATATTATGAATGTGTTGGACTGCGGTTGACTATTCATATTGTACGGCGGGTTGTTGACGTGTCCGGATAGGTCCGGGGCGTGACACCTTGTCCCTGCATAGACGTTCGTCGGGATGAGCCGCTGGGCCTGAACTCCCAACCCCAGACGTTCGTCCATCCTCAAGGAACATGGGCCTGTGGGCCGCCCTTGTGTCCTAACTGGGCGTGCGTCCTGCAAGAAGGGGTTAGTGGGCCGAACCTCGGCTTGGGCCCTTAACCCAACAGGAGTAAATATATATTCGTATATGAGGTGGTTTATTTTGAAATGCTTAATAAACAGTTTGAATTAATTAAATAATTAATTTAATGTTATTCTTGAATTTCATTTATTTATTTACATAATTGTATTCTGAAAGGATGCCGATGTAGAGGGGCTGTGTGAAGCTCTTATGAATTATGTTATTCGTTCTGATCTTACTTTCATTTTATGGTTTATTACAATGTGATGTTATTTATTGAAACCTTTGGCATTAGTTTAGCATGAATGATAGACAATTTAGCTAGTTATTAGGTGATTAGAAGTAGGGATATATTTACTCGGACTGAAATTTTTCTGGTTTGCTTTGGTTTGATCTAGTTTGATTCGGTTTGTTTCGTTTGATATAGTTGATCTAAATTGGCATGATCTGATAGATATTTTCTCTTTGTATATTTAAATAGTATTTTTAGAATGATCAAGATCTGATCTGATTTATTTAAGTCTGATTTAATTTGGTCTGATTTGTAACTGAAATAAATCCAAGTAAAAACATCCTTTTCAATCTAAAAACCTCCAAGTAACTATAATAATGAAAATGCAATCTTTTTGGAATTGAATTTAGATATAATAATATTTTAATTAAAATATCATAGTAATAGTAATTTCTTGATGAACTTTTTTCAAAAGATTTTTTTGATGGAATAATAAAAATAATACGGAGTAGCAGTAGTAATAATAATTAATATTAATAATAACATTATAATAATATTAGTATTAATTAATGATAATAATAATAATATAATAATAATAATAACAGTATACTCGTAGTAATAAAGGGGGAGCCAAAAGCGCCCAAGTTTGCGAAGCGGCACCAAACACGGCACTCTCTCACAGCTCGCTCCAGATAAAATCGAGTCTCCTGGCCCTGTGATTCACACGAACCCTAGTGCTCATTTCATTCCTGACTGAGAGATTCTCAGTACTCAACAAATCCCACCCAGAAATGGCGTCTCGGAGGCTTCTAGCCTCACTTCTCCGATCATCCATCGCCAGTCGCGGCAGCTCAGTTTCCAGATCCGTCGTCGGAAACTCTGTACCCAGGCCTAGACATACATCGCGTGCATCCCCAGCGGGCTATCTCCTAAATCGAGCCGTTCGTTACGCTACCTCCGCCGCGGCCCCAGCTGAGAAGCCCGCGACGAAGCTCCCTTCCGGAAATGAGCCGACAGGGAAGATCACGGACGAGTTCACGGGTGCCGGATCGGTCGGAAAAGTCTGCCAGGTGATTGGAGCCGTCGTGGATGTCAGATTCGACGAGGGTTTGCCTCCGATCCTAACTGCTCTCGAGGTTCTCGACAACCAAATTCGACTCGTGCTGGAGGTGGCGCAGCACTTGGGTGAGAACATGGTTAGGACAATTGCTATGGATGGTACTGAAGGGCTTGTCCGTGGCCAACGTGTTCTTAATACAGGCTCTCCTATCACTGTGAGTTATCTTATGCTTTTCTTGACTGTCTTATGTACAAAGGTTGTTTCTTTAATTTGTAAACATAAGGATTATGGCATTGCGGCGCAAATGCCTTTATCGATTCAAATTCTTTTAGATCTTGAATTGGGAAATCAGTGATCCATCCACATACCACACATTTTCTAGATGTCATCTGTAAGTGTGCTTGTTAATCCAATGTGATTGAAACCGAGGTTCTTTTGCCATCGTAGTGGGAAGGAAATGCAATTATTAACAGTGTCAAATGTCATATTTTGTTTGTGGCTGAGCATATTTCCATTTTGCTGCCATGTTTTAGATGTTCTATAATATTTGAGAGACCCTTTTTTTTGTATTCACTTATGTACCCGGATTGTTTTTTGGGGTTTTGGAATTGCAGGTTCCTGTTGGTAGGGCCACCCTTGGTCGTATCATCAATGTCATTGGAGAGCCCATAGATGAGAGAGGCGAAATCAGTAAGTCCTAGAGTGCTTTTGAAAAGAAGTAATGCTATTATTAGACTTAACTAGTCTTATAAGGCCCACACTTTTAAAAAAAATCTTGCAGAAACCGATCACTATCTGCCAATTCATCGAGAGGCTCCAGCTTTTGTTGAGCAAGCTACCGAGCAAGAAATTCTTGTAACTGGAATCAAGGTATTCCACTGGCTGTCTCCTTGTAGTTCCATCACAACCTTTTCAAAACTTAGTAACTTACAATGTTACTGTCTGTATAGAATTTTATTGTGAATTATTTATATGTTGTTCATTGCTCAGGTTGTAGATCTTCTTGCACCATATCAAAGGGGAGGGAAAATTGGGCTTTTTGGTGGTGCTGGAGTCGGAAAGACAGTGCTTATTATGGAGCTGATTAACAATGTTGCAAAAGCTCATGGTTTGTTCGGATCCATTTCATCTATTATCTCGCTTCATTTTTTTCAAGGCCCCTTGTGCATGCTAGGTTGTGCTTATCTACTGTCTTTTGACTTGACCATTAGGTGGTTTCTCTGTCTTTGCTGGTGTTGGTGAGCGTACCAGGGAGGGTAATGATTTGTACAGAGAAATGGTTGAGAGTGGTGTCATTAAGCTTGGAGACAAGCAAGTTAGTATGCAATTACCATGATCTGAAGTGGCTCTTTGCGTGGTTAAAAATAACATTTGTCAATCTTGCTGATTTTTTCTATTTCTATATCTTCCGAATGTCAGAGTGAGAGCAAATGTGCTCTTGTGTATGGTCAAATGAATGAGCCCCCTGGTGCTCGTGCCCGTGTTGGACTCACTGGACTTACAGTTGCCGAGCACTTTAGAGATGCAGAGGGACAGGATGTGCTTCTGTTTATTGACAACATTTTTAGGTTTACCCAGGTTGGTCACTGAAAATTTCCTATGCTGAGCTGTGTTGGCAGTTACTTGATGCACCTTTTTATGCATATATCCTTTTGTCTAAGCTTCATTTGCACTGCTTTTAAGACACTCTTATTTATCTATGGTACTTAATATAACTTAAATAAATATATTTGCTATTTGTTGCAGGCCAATTCAGAAGTCTCTGCATTGCTTGGGCGTATCCCATCTGCTGTTGGTTACCAACCTACCTTGGCAACCGATCTTGGAGGATTGCAGGAACGTATCACTACAACCAAGAAAGGTTCCATTACATCAGTGCAAGCTATTTACGTGCCTGCTGATGACTTGACAGATCCCGCTCCTGCAACAACATTTGCTCACTTGGATGCCACAACTGTCTTGTCTCGTCAGGTTATAACCGTTCATCTATTCTTTTGTCCAATACTCAATGGCTGGCATAAAGGGGGGCACACCCCTAATTATTTTTGAAGGTAGGTATAATTACTCTATTTAGTTAGTAAATATGGTAGACCAGGTGATCTTACATTTAACTTCCAGTTTGAGCAGGTATATATGAAAGAAAAAGTGTGCAGAACTTGTTTGAAATTCAATAAATCAGTTTTAGGCATTTCTTCAAACTCATTTCATGTAAAAAGTTCTACTACATATAGGCCGGAAACTGATACATGTAAAATTTAATAAAGTTTTTGTTTGATTTGACATTCTTTCATATTTCCCAGGTAAAAAACCGAACGTAAAATTCATTTTCCTTTGTATTCTCTTCACTTCCCCACCATTTTCGATGTTCTGAACATGGCTTTAGAACTTCAGTAAATCTTCTTATTATTCCCTTCGTACTAATTAAGATATTCTTTTGGGAATAGATCTCCGAGCTTGGCATTTATCCAGCTGTCGACCCCCTTGATTCTACATCCAGAATGCTTTCTCCACACATTCTGGGAGAGGATCACTACAACACTGCGCGTGGGGTACAGAAAGTCTTACAGAACTACAAGAATCTTCAAGATATTATTGCTATTTTGGGTATGGACGAGTTGAGTGAAGATGACAAGTTGACTGTAGCTCGTGCCCGTAAGATTCAAAGGTTCCTTAGCCAGCCGTTCCACGTGGCTGAGGTTTTCACGGGTGCCCCTGGAAAGTATGTTGAGCTTAAGGAGAGCATCACTAGTTTCCAGGTAACCCTGCAATTATTGTTTTGCTTTCAAATTTTGTTATAGCCTAATAAGGAATTTTTTGTTGATGCTTACGAATGAATGTTCAATGATTTGCTAAAACCCAGGGTGTACTGGACGGGAAGTACGATGACCTTTCTGAACAGTCATTTTACATGGTTGGTGGAATTGATGAGGTCATTGCAAAGGCAGAGAAGATTGCCAAAGAATCTGCTGCCTAGATAAAACTAAATCCTCCCCGGTCATTCCGCTGTTTTTTGGGTGTTTTGGTTGATAATCGCGAAATAATTCTGTGATGACAATGCCAATCTGAAAGATTTTTTTAATCATTAATGAGACCCGGGTGGTCGAAAGTTATTCACCCCTTTTTCTTATGTATTTCATGTGGAACTGAGAGATAAAGGTGTTTTTTTGTTATTGTTTTTCACATAATAAGTGCGGTGAATTTGGCTGTTTTGTACATCATCCATATTGTGAGTGGTGGATTATGCCCTCATGGTCTCATTATATAACGTTTCACATTTTTCTGATGTTATTTTCGTTTTAGATGTCATGTTATGTAACCCAGAATTACTCAAATAAGGGATGCCACAAACAGTTCCCCAAATCCTTAATTCCCCATCCTCTTTTGATAAAATAAAAATAGTAATGTCATTGTAGATTGGGTTGATCAAATAATTTGCTAGTTCAATACTTCAATAACAAATAACGAGCAAGTTGTCATTTAAAAGTTAAAACATGGCTAAGTTGAGATTGTGTAGCTTTGTGTAAAAGACATTATTCGGATTAAACTATATGCAACTATGCAAGAACGAATCATTGGATAAAGAATGTGTCAATGTTTGTTGTTTGTTTCGGCCTTTGACTTTGGAAAATCGGTTGATTCTGCTGAAATTTCTGAAGTTCTGGCTGAAGTGGCTGCATTGGTTGATTCTGCTGATTTAAGAAAAAAATATTTTTAAAATATATTTTATTAATAAAATAAAGAAAAAATTATATGTAAAAATAGCTAAAATGGTCATCTACAGTAACTTCAGCCAATACAGCCAGAAAAGTAACTTCAACCTTACTTTTTCTGCTTATTACACAATTCAGCACGCTAAAGCAAAAATTACGTGTTTGGTGGAAAAGTCGGCTGATAAGCCTCATAAGCCGAAAAGGGGTGTTACCAAACGGCACCTTTGTCTCTTTGAGGGAATCTTTGGATTTTGTGACGAATATTTTCAAGTTGCACGACATAACTCGCTAAGCTATCATCCAAGTACTGCAAACTTGTTTCCTATTTATGCTTTAGGTCCACTATTTCTCTATGTTACCTAAACGGTAACTACACAATGTACAAAATCATAATTATAATTTATAAAGTTGGCTCAATTGTGTTTTTCCTCTCTCGACTCTCTACGTGGCCGGGGTTACCTAGGATGAATGAGGACAAATATTTTCTCCACAAAAATGAATATTTATCGCATAAAGCTTGCAGTTAGAATATTCAGATATGATTTTTTTTTCACATTATTACCTATTCCAAATACATTAATTTTAATGAACAAATCAATATGCTCAGAGTGAAATACATTGAGGCAATGAGGTGAATTTTTCTACGAGATGAGATTACTTCTACTCCTTGAGGAGCGTTTGCTACAATTTAAGAAAATTGTTTTTTAACTTTTTTGTTTAAACAGTCAAAAGCAATGTTTTCAAATAAATTCTTCTACTTAGATAAGTAATTTACAATGAGAAATTGTAAATAGATTTAAAACTTCATTTTATTTCTTGCATACCACACAAATTACTGCATCACCTAAAATTTTACCTTTTTCATATTTTAAAAACAAACAACTTTTACTATTGATTACTTTAAGATTTAAATCACCAATGGAATATCACCTCATGAGGGATCATTTTCAAAGAATATGGTGACAAGTGCTATGGTATGTCACAACTAAAAGATGATATTGTACTTGAAATTTACTATATACGGAGTATTTGATTGGTGTAGATTATAATCTCATCGATTATTAACATTTAAATTATTCAACTATAATATTTTTTTGCGAGTTAATTATAATATTTTGATTGATCCATATAACTAATACGAAGTATATAACGATTGTAAATATGATGTTTTTAGTTGGATTGAAATTTGTTGATCTGGTCTAGTGAACTCGTTCGATCACATCAGATTTAAACAAATCAGATCAAACTTACATGGTTATAAATTAGAAATAATGGCAAGAGTATTACCCATGAGGTTTCCATAGACAAAAACATGACCATTTTACAAAAGGACAAAAAAGTGACCATTTAAATTAAAAAGAGTTATTTGCGCATCAGCTGGCCTGCCAGTGCCATACCGTCAATCTTTCTCTGTGCACCATATTCTTGTCCATCTGCATCGCCAAGCCGCCAAACTGCCTCCGTCTTCAAGCTCTGCCCGGATCGGCCAGCCTAACTGCCTCCATCTTCAAGTTTCATCCTCTATCTTCAAGCTCAGTCCAGATCCACCAGCCAAGCCACCTCCATATTCAAGGTCCATCCTCTGTCTTCAAGCTCCGCCCAGATCCGCCGGCCTAGGCGCCTCCATCTTCAAGCTCCATCCTTAGTCTTCAAGCTCCGTCCAGATCCTCCAGCCAAGCAGCCTCCATCTTTAATCTCCGTCCTCCATCTTCAAGCTCTACCCAGATCCGCCAGCCACCGCCACCGCAGGTTCACACCTCGTCGCTCTATGCCATTGCAAGTCCGTCGTCGACCTTCTATTCATCTCCTTCTACCTCGCATTAACGGTGTAGGTAGATGGCCAGATCCGGTACCAGCTAGCTAGGGTCTGAGGCAGGGTGGGGGTCATGGTTGTGGCAAATGCTACTTAGCAGCTGATGACCGAGGTGTGTGGTCGGATCCGACGACAAGGATTCTACTGTTAGGCTATAGGGCAGAACAACAAATTGTACAAGGCCTGAGCTTGGTAAGGGTGTTGGGAGGCTGAGGAGGGACATTAACGAGGTGGTGGCGGCCAGAGTAACTTCTGTCGGGCGGAGTCACCAGAAAATTTAATGTCACTAGAATGTGGCGGCATCACTGTAGCGGCATCACTGTAGTGGTGTCACTGTGGCCAGCGGCGATATCCGGTTGGCGGCGTTCTTCAGGCGGCGGCGGTAACCGACGGGAGGAGGTTGTGGATGTCACTGCATTTGTGTCACTGCAGGGTGTTAGTGTAGCTCGTTACTGTAGTTACTACATACTACTCACATTTTTGGAATTTAAAAAGGTCACTTTTGTGTCTATGGTCAATTTATCAGTAATATTCAAGTAAAAACACCTATAAATTACATTAATTACATGGTAGAATTTTTCGAGTTTTTTTCGAATTAATGCTAATTAATTAATTAATTACGAAAATAATCGTGGAAAAAAAGTATTTACCGATCTACTGTTGGGATTAACCATGGTCAGGGGTAAGTCGCCCAACGGTTGGGCGACTTATAAGTCGCCAAACGGTTTGGCGACTTATAAGTCGCCCAACCGTTGGGCGACGTACCCTGGGACGCACGATCGTGTGTCCCAGGGTACGCACGATCGTGCCTAAGTTCGAAAACAGAATTTCAGCATGTTTTTCGCCCCAGTTCAACCCAGACTCATCTGTTTGCTATAAATAAGGTGTCTCTTCTCCTGTTTAAGTGTTACGAGCCAGATACAACACATTATAAAACATACAACACACGTCTTCACAATCACATACCTAACACCTACTCTCAACAACATAAAAAACACCTTGTAAATACCCTTTAAAAATCAAATACAAAACCTTACAATCAAACACAATCAAACCGTTGGGCGACTTACCCCTTGTATATGTGCGAAGATCAGCAGGTACTGCCAGCCACGCACGATCGTGCGTCCCAGGGTACGCACGATTGTGCCTAAGTCCGAAAACAGAATTTCAGCATGTTTTTCGCCCCAATTCAACCCAGACTCATTTGTTTGCTATAAATAAGGTCTCTCTTCTCCTGTTTAAGTGTTACGAGCCAGATATAACACATTATAAAACATACAACACACGTCTTCACAATCACATATCTAACACCTACTCTCAACAACATAAAAAACACCTTGTAAATACCCTTTAAAAATCAAATACAAAACCTTACATTCATAACCGGTATAACACAGTACAATCATCCAATATTCATAACAAGTAATCATCTAATATTCATACTCGAACACATCAAGACAACATACAAGAGTTTACAAGAGAAAATACGTAAACTATTGTAAATTGTTCCTACAACATCTACTTTATAAGAAAAACTGCAATACAAAATACAAACTACAAGTTCCCATGGTCGCTTGGTCATCTTGGTCATGGAGACGTTGCTGCTCATGTCTACGCCTACGTCGTTGTCGTGGTTGAAGAACCACTCTATCATGCTGCGTCTGGGATGATGAAGCCGCCGCTGCACTAGACGTCGATGGTATCTCCTGAGATGGGGGCATGTGTATAAGATGGCCGTAGTCGACTCTCCCCAACACATCTGAACACAAGGAGGCAATGCCTGTTAGAGCCTGTCCATACATGTCCACATCATGAGTATCAGTCACTGTGGCAGTAGCCCGCTGATGTATGCGCTGCAAAGCTCGTGTCTGAAATATGAAACACAATTACAATTACATTGAAATACATACAAGTATTACATAAATAAAATGACTTACTTTACTAATTACTAATATACTCACCGTAAGATGCAAAGCCAAAGAGCTAGGCTGATAATGATGAGTAGGGAGTCTGAACGAAGGAGACACAAACAAACGAGTGATGTTGTAATACCATCCCATGTAGTCTCCTGAAACAGACGGGACAAATGTCGGTGTCCCAGCCACAACTAGCTCAACTCGCCTTTCCCACATAGTGACGTATCGGACATGTCTGAGTGTCCAATCCTTTGTATGCTTCCCACGCTTATCCAGCCTATGCAGCTCAACATAAGTGTCGATAGGCCGTGGAATGACCTGCTCAAACCCAAACTGTCGCAAGACTCTATCAGGCAAATGAAGCTCAACAATGTCAAAACATATCAACGGCACACATGCTCACCATATGTGACTATGCTCTCGTCCAGCTAGGGGCAACTCTGCCAACATCTCAGGTGTGTACGACATCCATGTAATCTGTTTCATAAAGATACAAAATTAGTATTTATGCTATACATATTATAGTTAATGTTATATTACCCACACCATACCTGATCCTCAGACATCCGATCAAATGCATCCCTGTAGACACCGAGCCCAGTACGGATGACATGCGAGATAGACCAGCATATATATAGCCATCTAACCATTCATGTAACAGTATCATTAATATGGATATTATTAATATATTTACATTCAACATATAATCACATAAATACCAACGATTGAAAACATACCGACGGCCTAGAGGGTCCTCGCCCCGTACATGATGTGGTCCTAGAAGACGTGGAGGCTCATCAGGCAGTGGGTGTCCATCAATGTCATGATATGCGACTACAATGGGACGCCCAATGTGGATATACTCCCATGACCAAATCTGGAGGAGTAGCAAAAATCCCCCAAGCTCTGTGCTCCCTCTCTGGCAGCCGCGACACAGCTGTCTGTACAGATAAGCCAGCGTGGCACTACCCCAGCTGAACTGTGTTGTTACATCAAACCTCTCTAGCATAGGCAAGTGCAACACCTGAATCTCATTTCCGCTCTTGTCAGCGAAAATGGAGGCTCCCATCATCATCAAGATATATGCTCGGGCATGCTGCTGGATCATCACCTCATCAGCGTCTGGAGGAAGCACCTGGAAGTGCTCCCTCAACCATGGCATCCTCAGAGATGACCCCTGAAGGTCAGTCCGAAGAATGGGGCGGATACCTAACAACCGCTCACACTCATCTACCCACTGTCGACAAGCAGTGCCTGTAACAGCTCTCCCATCAACCTGTAACCCGGTAAGTATGTACAGCAACATCTCCCAATGTCACTGTCACCTCACCAACAGGGAGGGGAAATGAGTGTGTATCCTGCCTCCAACGCTCAAGTAGAGCAGTGAGAAGCGCTCTATCTAGAGGCACAGTAGCCACTAATCTGTGCAGACCATAAAAACCCGCTGCACGAACATAGGCCAGTACTCTGTCGTCCACGTGCATATGCGACAAACCTCGCAATTGCTCGCGACACCTATCCACCTGAACATCCAGGCCAAGCCAAACATCCTCACTCCTGTGCGAGGCCTGCAATGTCAGGACAGAACGATCACTCGGCCCAGGATCCGCTGTCACCTCCATGCCTACAAAAAAACACAATTGTATTAGTTATTTTTCAATATTATATTAATTTTTTTTAACATCCATTTTTGTAATTATTATTTTTTCTTGCAACGAAAACATGAATTGTGAATTACTCTAAATAGAACCTTACCCAACGGACCCCCCTTGTGTCTTGACGATCTCTTCGCACATGTGGCTCTATTATGGCCTGTTTGGTGGCACTTTCCACATCTAACCGTTCCTCGGGGACCTTCATCCATCTCATTCTTAATATGTGTCGACTTTGGTCTTCCCTTAGCTCGAAGCATGGATGGATCGTGCACGATTTCGGGTCCATTGTAAGTAGGCCAATAATCACGATTAGGAATGGGTTTGAAGACTCTATGATAAGTGGCGGCGTATTGGTCAGATGAGAAAAACTTATCCACAAATGGAGCATAAGACAAACTATGTTGTCTGCACATGGCTAACACATGGGAGCGTGGAATCTTATATATCTCCATCTTTTTACAAGTGCAAGTTTTCCGCTGTAGATGGACAGTTTGTTTTCTCCCACCCTTCCCTAACGTTCGGCCACCACAACCAGTTTCCACTTGAAATATACCTCGGCCTAAATCAAATGGAGTGACACTGTGATGCTTTGCTTTCTCTCTATTTTTATCAATTAAATCTGTGATGTGTGGGGAGTGCTCGTGGTCATCTGTGAGCCTCATTTTACTGGTTTCACGCCTATTAACAAAATAAGCATTAACCCGGTAAAAAGAAACCTGGACCAAAGCGGTGATGGGCAAATATCTGACATTTTTCATCACGCTATTGAAAACCTCTGCCAGATTAGAAGTGATGGTACCGTATCTGTACCCGCCATCGTGGTGCAGTGACCACATTTCCGGGGGAATGTTCCCCAAAAATTGTCGTGCCTCTAAACTCATTTCACCTATCTTCTTGAACCCACCATCAAACTTCTTTTTCTGATGTTGCCGTGCGGTCCAGACAAAAAGATTTTTTAGATGAATGTCTTTGAAATGAGTGTGCATATTTGATGCAAGATGTCGGATACATAGCCTATGATGCGCATAAGGCTCCTCCCAAGTACTGCCCACCTCATTCATTGCCCTGACAATACCTCCATGTCTATCAGAAATGACACACAACTCCCTATTAGTGACAAACTGTCGAATACATGCCATAAACCATGGCCAACTATCTCCATTCTCATATTCAACAACTGCAAAGGCCACTGGAAATATTTGGTTGTTCGCATCACAACCCATGGCCACGAGCAATGTACCCTTGTACTTTCCATACAAGTGTGTGCCATCAATAGTAAGTACGGGTCGACAATGCTTAAAACCATGTATTGATGCCTTGAATGCCCAAAAACCTCTTTGAAACTGCATATAACCTGTGGGAGTATTGGGGGGTGGGTACCACTCCACAATAGTTCCAGGATTTGAATGTTGGAGAGTTGTCATGAAACAGGGCAATTCAGAATATGACTTCTCCCAACCGCCAAATATTTCTGCTATGGCCTTTTGCTTCCCCATCCATGTTCTCCGGTATGATACCGTATACCCATATTCCTTCAGCATCTCAATGATAGTATGCACTTTAATGGAAGGATCAGTGCGAACAATGTCAATCACATCTTTAGAGATGAAATCTGAAGTCAAAGCCACGTGATCGGTAGTGTCGGTGTTGCCAACACACGTAGCAGAACGAGGTCCAGGATAACGCACAATTGTAAAGGTGTCAAGGTTGCCTTTGTTCTTTGTGGCGCGTATTCTCGAGGGGCAATCACATTCTTTATTCCTTTTGCATTGTGCCACCCATTTGTGTTTATCGGACTCTATCACCCGATAAAATTGGTTCCATTTGATAGAATACAAGCTCACCATATTGATGACTTGTTCTTTGTTGTCAAACTGTTGACCGACCTGAAACTCACCATCGGGGGTAAACCTTTTCTCACCTGATCCACTCATCCACGCATCAGTAAAGCCTTCAGGGAGATCATACATTCTAGTAAAGTGGCTAGACGGGGCAGTTGCCGTGACAGTATCACCATCATCTTCATCAGATTCTGTCATGTCATCACCATTGATGTTCTCGTCAGCATCATCATCACTTCCCTGCCCATCCACAAATGATGCACCGTTGTGCAGATACCTACCATCTTCCTGTATAACTATGTCCAGTACAGGATCCTTTGAGGAGTTGTCTGCATTCACCCCTGCATTGACATTACTCGTAGATACAACAACATCTGATGTTGATTGAGTACCATAAGCGTCATGTAAGGAATAAATGTATTTAGATTTTGATGATGCTAGATAGATTAGAATATTAGTGTACCCCCATTAAATTTAATGTATTAGAACTTTTCTTTGTAAGTATTAGCATAGTCGACAGGCCAGAGACCCTCTTGGTACTTCTGATCTGAGTTGCTAGGAGAACTGCTCTATGAGAGTTGCTAGCAGAGTTGCTCTTTTGATTAGCTATGAGAGTTGCTAGCAGAGCTGCTCTTCCGAGAAGCCATCAGAGTTCCTACCAGAGCTGCCCTCAGATTGTTACCAGAGTTGTCATCAGAACCTGGCTTGAGAACTGCCAATCAGAGAATCTTATCAGACCTCGACAAACACTTAGAAGAATTCGATGCTACTTTCAACGGCCGTGTAACTAACGGGAAATTCCCTAACGGCTAGAAGATATTTCACGAAAGGAAAGCATTTAATGCTCATTTAATGGGCCTGATACGCTGTGGAGTAATTGCAGATGATTGACCGAGATTCCTGGAGAATATTATACAAAAATAGCAAGCTACCAAATTCGTGGGTCCAACCGGTCAACTCCACAGTACGCGCATTTAATGCAGTTGTCTCCCTCCTCCAACGGGAAGACAACCCTAGTATAAAAGATACACGACGAAGAACAACCGGATAACTTTTGTTCTCTACAATATTCAAAAAGCTCTTTTGAGATTCAAACTCCATATTCATCTACAAGAAAAAGCTTACGTTGGGAAGATCATTTTACTCAAATCCTACAACCCCAACAAAGAGAAAAGTTCCTCCAGTTCTTCAACACTTCAAGCACTTCATCAACAAATCTATTGTAACGAAGCAAGTTGGAGAAAAATTCTGTTTTTCTACAAAACATCTTCTGCAAAGAAGGACGTCTCAAATTAGCTGGAGTAGTGAAGTGGGGATACTTCAAGAGACTCAGTGAAACGAGACCAGTCATCAGGAAGCCAGGAAGAGCATCCCAGGTGACAACTACACTTGAAGAAGACGTGGAGTGCTTCTTAAGTTCTAGGGAGTAAGGCGTTGTAACTGTAAACTTACAAGTTTAGTGGAACAGTGGACTAGAGGAACGCGTTGTTCCTTGAACCACTATAAAAATCCCCGATGTCATTTACTTTACGCATTTACTTTCTGCACTTAAGATTCTAACTGCATAACTCCCAAGAACTTGGACTCTATGTTCAGCAGATCTTGTTCTCAGAGTTATCAGAAAGACATTTCCCTTAGTATTCTCTTGAGGCTACCCGGACAGAACTCTTATCCGCTGCCAGGTCCAGTTCTGCCATCAGAACTCGACCTTCTCTGTCACCAGATTCAGACTATATCTGATAAGTCAGTTTTGACTTAGAGAAAAAGTTGAAAGTCTGAAACAGTCTATTCACCCCCCCTCTAGACTGTTTCCAACTTAAACGGGACCAACACGTCACATGATTCCTCAATGTATATCTCCAGCGTCGACATATCCTCCATCTGAATTATGCCCCACACATTTGTTATAGCTAGCTCATCAATGAGGGGCATAAGAATGTACTTTCCCCCGTTCATGGGAAATTTCATTTTCAACCGCAAAGAACGGCTAGGATGAATCATTGTGGCTGCATGTATTTTTTGAAGGATCTCCAGCATGCAAGCGCCACGAGAAACCATGACAAAGCTGGTTCTACCACCTTCATGGCATATTTGCCCAGCATCCTCATAATAGTTCCCTTCCCAATGACACACGATTGGGAAGCTTGAGAAATCCATATTCTAATAACAATTCATTGTCCAACATTCATGAGTAGGCATCAATATACACACTTTATACACATTCAAATTTTCAATAGAAAAAGCTACCAAAATTGTAATATATCCAAAAGTCAAAATTCACAAACAATTCACATTTCAATATGAAACTACCCAAATTTTGATATCTACATTCAAGTCTACATTTCAATACCCAAATTTAGCTACATTCAAGTCTACCCAAATGCCCAAATGTCAAAATACACATTAAAAATTTACAATCAATTTAAAATCAAATTTCAACATTTCATACATATCCACATTTCACAACAACTGAATTCACAATCAATGCATAATCCAAAAATTCAAAAATTGTAGCATTCAAAATCCTAAGTTCAAAATGAGATGAAATGGAGTTGGATTTACCTAGAAGAAAGAAGAAAGAGTGTTGAAGATGAAGATGGAGGTTCGCTGGAATGGGGTCGCCGGAGATGGGGGTTCACCGGAGTTGGAGATGGCTCTCGTCGTTCGTCGCTCGTCCTTCTTCGTTCATCGCTGCAGGTAAGATGGAATTGGGGCTTTTGGTTTGTGCGTTCTGTTTTGGTGGCTGCGATAAATTTACGTAAGGGTAAGTCGTCCAACGATTGGGCGACTTACCCCGTAAATACTTTTAACCCAATCATATTTTCGTAATTATTTAATTAATTTTTCATGGTAATATTGGATAGGGGTGGGCGCGGGACGGGACGGTTCGGGATTTGACTTATCCCGGTCCCGACTCGGTATTATAATAACGGTCTGGTACGGTTCGGGATAAGTCATTATCCCAATGATGTCCCATTTAAAACGGGACCGGGACATCCCGAGAAAAACCGGGACGTCCCATAAAATATACATTTGTGAAATGTGATATAAAAATAAGCATAACATCAAAATAAAGATGTAACTATTTTTGCAAATTTAGCTTATCTAAAAAGTTAAGTAAAACCTCTAATTAACTATTTTTTATTATTGTCTTATAACTTTTTTTGGTCCCCCCCAAATCTTATGTTTCCTCGTAGAATAGTAGCACAAAATATCTATGTTGTAAAAACCGGACCGGTGAGCGACCCGGTCATGTGACTGGGTCACGGGTCAACCCAGACCCGGAGGGTCAACCCGGTCAAAGCCGGAAAACCAGTCAACGATTATACGTCTATATAATAATAATAAACATATAATTATATACTCTCCTTATATTTTTTTATTTGTATTGTACATTTATATTATAATTTGGCAAACCAAGCACTCCAGCCTAGCTGGTTGCGAGGTTACCGTGCCTAGCGAGAGGTCTCGTGTTCGAATCCCGCTAGGCACACAAGGGTGTGAAACTCAATGGAGTGAGTTTCAGCCCTGATTACTCCAGGCTCCCCCCAGCCCCCTCCCCCAGACCCCCCCTGGAGTAAAAAAAATATATTATAATTTGGCATGATTTTCATTCTTAAATAAATATATAAACATATTACATAGTTTTTCTTTTTAGGGAATTGAAATTGCAATTTTATTGGTTTAAAAAATGCATTAAAATCAAAAAACCGGGTTTTCTCGGGTTTTTCGGGTTTCTTGGGTCGGGTCCGGATCGGATTTTTTCGGGTCAGCTGGGTTTTTCCGGTTTTTGACCATTTTCGGGTTTTGAAGAAACTGAACCGGATTTTTGTCCGGGTCATCGGGTTCCGGGTCAACCCGGCCGGGTTGGGTCGGTTTTTTAAACATAGCAAAATATTTGTATACTTTGTAGTACTCTTGCAACTTTTCAATATCACATTAAATTAAATATCATATCTATAAGGACTATATATGTTTACTAGTTGTTATTTTGGAAAATATTAAATCTATAACAACACTATATTTTGGAGTAGTTGTTATTCCATCATAATAATATTCCGCACGTAATAATATATTACGGAGTAGTATCGGAATGAGAACTAAAGAAATTTAAACAAAAGAAACAAAGGAAACGAGACGAAGAGAGACATGAAATACGATAAAATGACATTAAGGAGACTAAGGGTTAGAAAATTTTAATTGGGTTTGGCTTTTACATATCATTAGAAATTTAAAATAACCTACTATTTTCAAACGGGACACCGGGACGGGACATAATATTCTATAGCTATCCCAGTCCCGTCCCAGTTAATATCGGTATGGGATCGATTCGGGATGAAAACATTGCATCCTACATGGATCGGGATAGTTTCGGAACGGTATCGGGATTTTTCGGTTTGGGTCACCGGGACCGGGATGAAACTATTATAGGGACACGTGAATGAATTATCTACTGCATCATGCTTACGGTAGTTCACACTTGTCTCGCCACAAGCCCGCCCGCTTCTGTCGGCGACGCTTTTTGTTCTCCGCCGCGAACCACCGACTTCGAACCCACGCGCCGCTGTCAGAGACCCCCCCTTAGAAATGTCAACTGCCGCTATTCTTCCTCTTGCGCCAATCACTAGTACCCACCTCCGTTCACATGCACCGCAGATCACCCGATTCCTCCCCCACGCCTCCTCATCCATGAACCTCCTTCGACCACTCCTCCGCAACAGCCATCTCCGTCGTCTCTCCGTCTCCGCCGCCGCAGTCCGTCAGGATACCACCGTCTGGACTCCGGCCCCTCTCTCGACTGTCTCTCCCGCGGCCGAGTCGCTCTTCCACGTTACCATCGACGTGTCCGACTCTCCTGACCTCGCGGTTTCCCATACCAAGGCTGGGCAGTACCTCCAGCTCCGCGTCCCAGACGTCGAAAAGCCTTCATTCCTTGCTATTGCCTCCCCGCCGACCCTTTCTGCCGCGAAGGGCGTCTTTGAGTTTTTAGTGAAGACCGTCCCTGGCTCGACAGCGGAGCTTCTGTGTAATCTCCAAAAAGGAGACGTGGTGGAGCTGAGTTCGGTGATGGGGAAAGGTTTCGAGATTGATCTGATTTCTCCGCCAGAGAAGTATCAGACTGTTCTGATTTTCGCCACCGGGTCTGGAATAAGGTGAGAATAACTGTACAAGTTCTATATTTCATTCAATTTAAAAAACCCAATTTTATTTTGCTTTCTCTGGTATGTCTCATAATGATAATAATTAGCAGTAGTAACTAATTTTCTAAATAAAACTACCTTGCTAAACCAATCCACAACGGAGGGCAACATGTTTGCTAATCTTCAATGTGAATTTATGTTTCTAATATGTAAGATACTCATATTTATCTTTGAGATATGATGCTGAGAAGGAGTTGGGGAAATTGTGATGAACATAGCCAAAATAGTGTCTTTTGAAACCTGTGATCACATTGGAGTATATGCAGAGTTGTAGAAATGGATGGTAGGGAATGAAACCATAAACGAACGATTGGGTGGATCGGGTTCTGCATATCTCCTCACTGTCCATTCTACCAATCATTACAGAAAATGCTTTTGGATCAACAAACTCTTCACTTGATTTCAACGCTATGCTCTGAATTCTGAAGTTCCTTGCTGTATAATTCGTTCTATTTTTAAATAATTTACAACGTATATAAATGTTGATGAAAGAAAACCAGCTATTCATGCCTCCAAAATCCAAATGCTGTTTCCAGCCAGATTTCTTGAATTTCTTAAATCCAGCTGTGAGCATCTGTTTGCTATTGAGAACCTAAATTTTGAGTACTCAATAGCTTCCTAAATGAAGTGCTATGGTATTAGTGCTGCACAAACGAATCCCTCAATTCTAGTGTGCAACACTAGAATTGGCATGTACTTACTTGACTGGGTTCATTCATCATAGCATTATTTCAGAGATGAATAACGCTGGGAACTCTGAAATTGTGTAATGATAGCCCTCCAACTTTGATTCGTATGGCGGTATAGGGTAAGATTGGACTGCTGCACAGTGCCACCAAAATCTAGGCATAGTGTGGTTTGCTTTTGATATTTCCCCCCGTATGGTAGCACTTAGCATTACATGTCTTATTCTGCTTATAATAATCGGAATAAGGGGAATCGATTCTATTATCCATGTATCCTTTCTGCTAATTTGGCAGATTTTGTCAATTCTGCTAAATTAACCTAACCAAACAGGCTCTTAATCTTCTGCTTGAGATATAACTGGTCTTAACTAAGAACTAGAATTAGTCATCGACGTGATTGTGTTCAGTGTTTGTACTCCATAGCTGTTCAACAGAAATGCAGGTGGAAATGTGAAATGTGAATCAGTGTAGGCTCAATTACCCTCATTTCCGTGGTTGCTCAGTGCTTGTTCTCGCGAGCAAAGAGTTTCATTTCATTACTCCCTCCTTCCCAAATGATATGCTATGTATTCACAGGGATTAAGAAATACACACCAGTTATTTAGTTAGTTACTTCTTGTGATTAATTTTATTCATATGCAATTCTCACTATTATCTTTTTGTAAAATTAATTGTTATATTGTTCATATCGTGGAGTTCTTGAAATGAAAATTTAAATTGAAGTAACACTTGGGAACTTGGGAATATAAAATTGAAGTCACACTTGGAATTGAAATACACCAAACATCTGATGGTTTCTCAAGATTTTCCATGGGTTGTAGACTCATAATAAGTTTCTCAAGGGCTAGTTTGGTTGGTGGGTTTTGAGTGGGGGTGGAAAAAATTGATCTTGTTTTATTAATTTATACAAGAAAGTACGGAATAACTACTTGGTATAAATTTACTTCATCATGTATGCATATATGATTTGTCATCTTCAATTTCTTTCAAGCAATCTAAAGCAAAATTAGATTAATGAAATAGTTACCACCTATTCCCTTTTATTTCAAAAAAACCCAGCCAAATAAGGGCGAAATTTTTCATTGGCCTTTCAGTTCCTGCAAAATCACCTCCAAGAGGTCTAGGTTCAAATAAGCTGATGAACATATTTTGTGAATGTATTTACTTGCTTTTTTCACAACTGTGAAGAAGGACATGGAAAGCATGGATGGAAGCTCAAGATGCCCTGTTTCTAATACCTTTGCTCAACTATGCTATGGTATAATGTTTCATGCATTCATATTGTTAGTGTTATAAGTGACAGGGGGCAGAGCGGCAGAGAGAGTAGATAAAGAAAGGGCCTTAGGAACTGCTAGTAATTCCTTTGTAGGTTGATCAAGATAGTGTGGAAGCTCTTCATTCTTTCTGTCTTTCAGGGCATACTAAGAGAAAGAGCATGAGAGGAGGGACGGACGGTTGGAGGGTAAGCCAATAAGAGACATGAAAGTCTTTTGATATATGGAAAGGAAGAGTTCCCGTATCCAATCTGTTGTCTGAAGGCTAGATAAAATATAATCGGAAATATGAGTTCATTATCCATAAAAATCTTTTAATTTCATTCCTTTTTAGCTGCACCTTGGGTAAACTAGATCTTATTTGTGTGCTGTGTGAGGATGGGGTGTGGTAAACTAGACAATCATTGGTTTCTCACTTTGTCTAGAGTCTAGACCCTTAACTTATGGGACCAGGGAGGAGATCAGCACCTAACATCATGTTAACATATTTATATGAGTGTAATGGATGGAGGTGACCATGTGATGTTTGAGTTCTTATAGATATAAGGCTTGGAATTTGAGGTGTGTGCCTTTTCTTATAATGAGCTGAACATATCCGGAAACTGATCTATCAATATGAAAAGATCCTGCAAGGCTGCATCTAAATTGCCGATTTGAATCATCTTGAGCTCTAGATGCAGTCATACGGTCAAAGAGTATAGTATAACTCCTTCGGCATACACACTTTCCGGAAATATGTGATAGAGGTAGGAAGTCTAGCAGTTGGTGCTCAGCAGGTTCATACTGCAAATAGTGAAGTTCCTCATTTAGGGACTTAATTTGTGTATTCCTGTAAGTTCTTTGCAATTGGTTTATCTAGTGTTTCTCCTCCATCTTTCTTTAATGGCATAATGGTTAATGATTCAGAATCCACTCCATGTTAAATAGAGTGCAAAATGCAGAGTTTAAGCTATTGGCGGTTGGTAGTGGTTCCCATTTTAGAAGTCTATTTGTAGAGTTTTTTGTCACTTCAACCCCATAAAGGACCATAATCGATAGCATAATTGTGTGGAGCCTTTTTCGTGTATGAGTGCATAAAACTATCCTGTTACTTTACTTCATGTTAAACTCATTTTTATTGTTATGTACTTGCACTATCTTAAACGTCAAGTATATTACTCCCTCTGCTATTTAACTGTTGCTTAATTGATCAAGTTTGTTCTCAAACGAATGTCACTTCAGAATTAAAGAGATCATCATTGTTTATTTCAGTTATTTCCATCATTGTCCTTCTCCACCATAAATGCCACTTAGTACTTTTAAAACGTTAATAGAGGTATACTAGTCATGATGTGATTTGCCTTTTCTACTTCCACCTGCAGTCCTATTCGGTCTCTGATTGAGGGAGGATTTGGTGCTGACCAAAGATCTGATGTGCGATTATATTATGGTGCCCGCAATCTAGAGCGAATGGCTTATCAGGTACACATCTTCCTTGTTACTGTTACGAACCTAAGAATATTATTAAGTCTTTTAATATTTTGTAATAAAATGGGTTTAAGCCTTATATCTAAGTAGAGGTGGGCTGGCCCATTAGAGAATGAATAAATAAGGGGGAGCTGGAAATGGAAAAGGGGGGGGGGATTATTTGGGACTTGGGACATCGGGACTTGGGAGCTGGCATTCTCTAACTGCCGATATATTTCTCTTTCTATACTCTCTGTTATACGACACTTTCAGTTCATACGCCTTCTATCTTCTTCATCTTGATTCGTGAATTTACTGTGAAATTGCCTGTACCTAACATTGGTATCAGAGCAACGATCGTGGTACCTGTTTATGGTTGCAACCAGACGATCGATGGAAGGAAGACTGGAGAATCTGGAGCGTGAGTTGGCGAGGCAGGCCGCGACCATGGAACGCGAACTGGAGAGGCATCGCGAGGAGGCCAGAATCAGAAGCGAGGAAGCTAAACGAGATCTCGATGAGTTTCGCGAGACGATAATGAAGAAACTCGATCGCAAGCCTCGCAGTCGCAAGTCACGCGGTCGATCAAATACATCCACAACCAGTGCGAGGGATGGGAGCCGCGAATCCAGGTCTTCTGCAGGTAATCATCGATCCACATCCTCTAGGCATGATGGTGAATACCATAGGTGGATTGAGAAATCTGGAAGGAAAGTGGATTTGCCACTTTTTAATGGATTGGATGCTTATGGATGGACCATTAAGGTTGAACGATTTTTTAAAATGAACTGTATTGAGGAAGAGGATAAAATTGAGATAGTCACCTTAGCCATGGAAGGAAGAGCGTTAAATTGGTTTCAATGGTGGGAGGAACACTCTAATGTAAGGAATTGGGAACTGTTTAAGGAAGCTCTGACCGAGAGGTTTGAACCTGGACTGGTACAGGATCCATATTGTCCTTTACCGAGTATTAAGCAGACTGGGAGTGTAATGGAGTATAGGGATGAGTTTGAACTGGTGGTAGCACCTTTGGAAAATACTGATGTGAAAATGCTCAAAAGCATTTTTATGAAAGGGTTGAAACCTGAAGTGTGAGCGGAGTTGAAGTTAAATCCTGTACGAACACTGGCAGAAGTAATGAATAAGGCACAGATGGTAGAGGATATAGAAGAATCTAGACAAAGAAAAGTCTAGACAACCGTTACACAATTGATTAGAGTTGTCAGTTACAAATATTTGTATTTAATATTATAATTAGTAGCCTGCCTTATTAATCCCTAGAATATTGTATAAATAGCAACTCATTCCATGGAATAAACTAAGTTATTCAGTCTCAATCCTTCTTATTCTAAATTCCATTATGGTATCAGAGTCTCTAGAGACCTAATCGGTCTATTCTCATCACCTTCCTCTCAACCAGCATCATCTTTCTCAGCCAACAATCCCCTAACCCTAGATGGCCTTATTATGCTCAGCCCTAGCCAATTCCCAGAAAAACTAGATGGATCAAATTACCTTGTATGGAGAGACCAAGTTATGGACCTTCTGTTTGGTTCTCATCTGGACCAGTATATTGATGAAAAATTCAGTCCTCCAGAAAGTGAAGCTGCCTGCCATCTCCGATGGAAGAGACAAGACCGTCTTGTGCGGCACGCCCTTGTCTCTTCTCTCAGTTCCGCTTGCAAACCGTTGATTGGGTCAGCCACGACCTCCGCCTCTGTCTGGAAGACACTGGAGCGCCTATATGGGATCCGGTCAGCTTCCAAGATTCGAAGTCTGAAAGACCAGTTCCGCCATGCTAAACAAGGCTCGCAACCTGTAGCAGAATATCTTCATCACCTATGCACCATCGCGAATGAACTGGCGAAGGCCGGACGACCAGTTGACGATGAAGACTTTGCCATTCAAGCCCTGGAGGGTCTTTGTCCCGAATTTGAATCCATGGAGAACTCCATCCGCCCAGATGAAACCAACTTTGAAGACCTTCACTCCTTACTGGTCGGATTCGAAGATAAAATCCGAAGGAAGGAGCTCTTGAACTCCGCCGCTGTTGTTACGGTGAACGCAACTACCGTCGAAAGGAAAGAGGAAGAAGATAGTTCGGTTGCTATGACGGCTAGGAGGATTCCAGACCAGAGTGGGTCTATATTAGGCCCAGCCCCATCAGCCCAGTCTCAGAATTTACCCCACAGGCCCAATACTCAGAATAAGAATTTTGCCAGAAATCAGAATCGAGGCCCACGTCCCAATAATCTCTACAACCAGAATCGAGGCCCACGCCCAGGGGAAGGCGTACCAATTTTGGATGAAATACCAGTTCTGGTGCTGTTATTATATGCCAAATTTGTGGCAAACCGAACCATCTCGCTATCAACTGTTGGCATAGATTTGAACAACAAAATTATCCCCCCCCAGGTTAATACTGCCACGAACAGGAGAGGCGGATGGTTACTAGACTCGGGAGCAAGTAATCATGTCACCAATAATTTAAACAACCTTACCTTGGCATCCGATTATACCAGCACAGACTCCCTCATTATTGGTAACGGTAAAAGTCTTGAAATTGCACAAGTTGGGAATATGACCCTCCATTCTCTCTCCTTACCTAATACTCTTTTTGTTCCTTCTATTCATACTAATTTAATTTCAGTTGCCAAATTATGTCGTGACAATGATGTACTAATTGAGTTTCACCCTTCTTTTTGTCTTGTCAAGGACTGGAAAACGGGAGCAATTTTGTTACGGGGTATGAATAAAGGTGACGTCTACAGCCTGTCTGATGTTCCTGTTCCCTCAGTCAATGTTACTACAAAATTCTCTCTAAATAAATGGCATTGTCGTTTAGGACATCCTGCCCTTCCTATCACTCAAAAAATTATTTCCTCGTTAGGTATTTCCTTTAAAGATGTTAGTAAGGATTTGTCCTTGTGCACTTCATGTGCAAGTAATAAAAGTCACAAGTTACCGTTTGCTAAATCTTCCCTTTCAAGTTCTGGTCCCCTTGATTTAATTTATACAGATGTTTGGGGTCCTTCACACATTAATCCTGTGGATGCTTTTCGTTATTATGTTATTTTTGTTGATCACTACACAAAATATATTTGTTTTTATACTATCACCCGCAAGTCAGAAGTAACATCAATTTTTCAACAATTTAAGAAAATTGTAGAAAACTTTTTTCAAAAATCTATTAAAACGATTTATTCAGATGGAGGGGGTGAATACGTATCCCTAGGGAAATTCCTGGCCTCTTGTGGTATTACTCACTTATTGACTCCTCCATATACCCCTGAGCATAATGGATTCGCTGAACGCCGACATCGTCATATTGTAGAAACAGGGATCACTTTACTTCACCACTCCTCCGTGCCACTAAAATATTGGTCTTATGCCTTTTCAACTGCTGTATATCTAATTCTTAGTTTTAAAAGGCACGAGGCGGCTTGAGGCGATTTCATTGACTTACCCGAGGTGCGAGGCGCGAGGCGATGATGCGCTCGCCTCACGGACCTTAAACTTATAGCTTTGGAAAAATATATTTATACTACTTCTGCATGAAGAACTCTTCCCAAAAAGTGATAAATCAAAAAATACTTCAAATTATTAAACAATCTTAATAAACACCTTAAGAGAAAAAAATATAATATTTATTCAGACAAAATAGCAAAAAGTATATACTCGTATTAATAGAAAAATAGTAATAATAATAATAATATAAATGAACTTTTACATAAAAATATTAATAATATAACAAGCTGTCTTATAAACAGGTAAATTGATAACATATCTGATAGGACAAACCATCTTTATTATTATTTTAAATTGATAAACATTCTGATTGGGATTAGGGTTTAGGGCAGATTGTTATAGTTTTATATATTTGAATAATTTTTATTATTTTATAAATTTAAAAAATTAAGATAAAAGAGAATTAAGAGGAGAAGAGAACAAAAAAAAATAAAAGCATACCTGGGACGCGAGAGAGAAGCGGAAGATAGAAGGCAGAAGAAGAGAAGCAAACGCAGAAGGCAGAAGATAATAGATAGACATAGAGTTTGATGAACTTTAACTTAACGATATATAAGACCTACGATATTCTGGAAGTAATATCTGAATGACTGAATCGCTAAAAGGCTTCAAACGTTAATCGCCAAGGTTTTGAAGAAATACTATCGGACACTTCCAAGAGGCGTGAGAGGCGGACGCCTCTCAGACGCGCAAAAAGCGGCAAAAGGCGTGAAAGAAGGCGCGCCTCTTGGAATCTGCTACGCCTAGGGGGTTAAGATGCGATGAACCCATCGCCTTAGGGCGCCTAGCGTCTTTGCGCGCCTCAGGCGCGCTTTTTTAAACCAAGATCTAATTAATAGGCAACCAACATCATCTCTGGGCTTTTGTACTCCCTATGAAAAACTTTTTCAAAAACCGCCCAATTACACAAAACTTGCTATTTTTGGATGTCAGTGTTTTCCATGGCTCCGTCCTTATGCAGCTCATAAGTTAGAACCACGGTCTAGACCTTGTATTTTTCTCGGGTATTGCGATCAACAAAGCGCTTATCGTTGTCTTGATCCTACAACCAATTGCATTTTCATTAGTCGGCATGTGGTGTTTAATGAGTCTGTCTTTCCTTTCTCTAACAATCCAACAACAGTTACAGATCTGTCATCTGAAATTGACAATTGGCTTCAGCCTCCTATCTCTTATCTTCCTATCTCAGGTACATCACTAGCAAAGGCGTCTCCTGCTACTCATACCCCAGCGACACAAGACTCCCCTAATACATCCATGTCTAACCCCGCTCCATTAGACCTTCATACGACCCATACCAGCCCACCCGCTTCGAACCAACTGGTCCTCATCACTTATCACCGTCGGCCCAAACAAAACCCAACTACTCCATCCTTACCTAATGCACCCAACACCACCCCTTCAATCATCACTCCCACTACACATAACCCCATATCTACCTCGGGCCACCATCATGATCCAAATGCCTCTCCACCCAAACGTACCCACCCAATCACCCTTCGTCCTCGTAAACAAGCTAACATTGTCACTAACTCATCATTACTTCATCATATTATTCCTACTTGTGCTTCTCAAGCTTTAAAGGTACCTGAATGGAGGAAGGCTATGTCTGTAGAATTTGATGCCTTGGTTCAACAAGGGACATGAGAACTTGTACCTGCTCATCCTGGTCAGAACATTGTTGGCTGCAAATGGGTTTATACTGTGAAATACAAGCCTGATGGTTCCTTGGATCGTTTCAAAGCTCGATTGGTGGCTAAGGGCTTTCATCAGCGCCCGGGGATTGATTACTCTGAGACCTTTAGTCCTGTCATCAAGCCAGTTACTATCCGGGTTGTTCTGACCATTGCCCTTTCTCATGGCTGGCACATAAATCAACTAGATGTCAACAATGCATTCCTACACGGGGCTCTCCAAGAGGAGGTTTACATGAAACAACCCCCTGGTTTTAATGATGGATCTGGAAGAGTGTGTCGTCTAAGGAAATCTATTTATGGCCTCAAACAAACACCTCGGGTGTGGTACCAATCTCTCAGTGGATTTCTTTTATCCCTTGGGTCTCATCAATCAGTTTCTGATGCCAGCCTCTTCATCTTTTCCTCTCATCCGTCTTGTGTTAGTATATGTGGATGATATTATTGTCACGGGGTCTACAACAGCATTGATCCATCAGACTATTGACTTGTTAGCACAAAAATTCTCCATCAAGGATTTGGGATCACTACATTACTTTTTGGGCATGCAGGTCACCCCTACACCAGATGGACTCTTTCTTGATCAACACAAGTACATTACGGATTTATTACAGGTGTTGAACATGCATGAGGCGAATCCAGTATCCACACCCTTAGCTTCCTCAGCTTCCTTGACTTTGTTTGATAGTTCGGGTTCTTGTGATGCCACTCTATATCGTCAAGTTATTGGATCACTTCAGTATTTAAGCCTCACCCGACCTGACACTGCTTTTGCCATCAACAAGCTAGCTCAGTTTATGCATAAACCCACTGTCAATCATTGGCAGCTCATGAAACGTCTCTGGCGGTACCTTCAAGGAACACGCTCTCATGGTTTATATCTTCGTCGGAGTTCTCACCTTTCATTGTGTGCTTATGCTGATGCGGACTGGGCGGGAAATCTAGACGACCGGTCCTCCACCAGTGCCTATGCCATTTTTCTCGGAGAATCACTTATTTCATGGAAATCATCCAAACAACGCACGATTGCCAAATCCTCTACCGAAGCAGAGTATCGGGCCCTATCGACAGCTGCATCTGAAACTCTTTGGATTGAGTCACTTCTTCATGAGCTTTGACATTCTCCTTCTTCTCCTCCGGTTCTTCTATGTGATAATAAAGGCACCACCACCTCTTCCGCCAATCCGGTTTTTCATTCCCGAATGAAACATGTTGCTATCGATTTCCATTTTGTCCGTCAACGTGTGCAACGTGGCCTTCTTCGAGTTCTTCATATTCCCTCTCATGATCAACTAGCTGACATTCTCACCAAGCCACTTTCACGGCAGCGGTTTGTGTTTCTACGTGACAAGCTCAGGATTCTTAGCACTGATAGAATACCTGGCTTGCGGGGGCATATAGAAGAATCTAGACAAAGAAAAGTCTAGACAACCGTTACACAATTGATTAGAGTTGTCAGTTACAAATATTTGTATTTAATATTATAATTAGTAGCCTGCCTTATTAATCCCTAGAATATTGTATAAATAGCAACTCATTTCATGGAATAAACTAAGTTATTCAGTCTCAATCCTTCTTATTCTAAATTCCATTAGAGGAAAGAAACAATACTCTGAACTTCAGCAGGTACAATGAAGATGATAGAAGAGGCAGGAAAGATAAGGGGTACTCTTCAGGGCAGAACCACAAATGGATGGATGAAAATAAATGGAAGAGCAGTCTGAATTACCAGCCCACTCAAGAGAAACCTGCCATGGAAAAGAAAATGTTGGAAACAGGAAATAAGGAAATAAGGAATCTGGAAGTGGGGGCACACACAGGTTACCACAGTCGGAGTTACAGGATTTGAGCAGAAGAGGTCTTTGTTTTAAGTGGTGAAAAATGGGGCAAAGACCATATCTGTAAGATGAAACATTTTCAGATCATCATGTTAGATGAATCTGAGGAGGAGGATGAATTGGAGGGTACTGCTATAGAACCTGTTTCACCGGTGCAGGAAATTGTCACCTCTAATATGCATTTGTCTCTCATGAGTAAGGAAGGGATCACAACTCCTAAATCTTTTAAGGCGCAAGGAAAGATCAGGAGTGAAAAAGGAGATAAAAACATCATCATTTTGATTGATTGTGGGGCCACCCACAACTTTATATCTCAAAAGATAGTTCAAGCAGCAGGTCTACATGTCCTCCAAATTCCAGAATTCAAAGTAAAGATAGGAAATGGAGACATAATCAGAAACAATGGGAGATGTGAGGCTGTTTGCCTTAACATACAACAAACTGCCATCATTCAAGACTTTTATGTCTTAGAATTGGGGGAAAATGAGATGGTTTTGGGGCTGGAATGGTTAGCAGGATTGGGAAATGTTGAATTTAATTTCAATCAGCTGACTATCCAATGCATAGTCACATAGTTCGTGGAACGCTTCGGTACGGGAACGAGGACCGGGAACGCGGTTCGCTAGATCTTGCGTATCCGGTTCGGAGGGGGGTAGGTTCATTTCGGTACGCGTTTGGTACGTTGTACCACATGTTCGGTACACTGTATCTTATATTTTGGTACTAAAATAAAACTGAATTTCAGATATTACGAGTCACTGGAAGAGTACTTTCAAAATATATATTTTGAAAGTAAAATAAAACTCTAATACTCAAAATATATTTTAGTAGCGTTGAAAGAGTACTTTCAAAATATATATTCAAAAAAAAACTTTAAACAAAATATAAAAAACATTAATACTCGGTATTCAAAAAGAAGTCGCTGAAGTGAAGAGTTCGTAATTTTTATTACCCGGAGCAGAAATCGAAGAGGCTAAGTCGTCTAGTTTCAAAGTTTCAAACAAACGCGTCTCGTTATCCGCATAGGTTATCAGCACAGGAAACGACGAGACTATTCGCCACTGGTAGGTCTGCGGCGGTCGTTAATGTTGGGAGTTCGCGATTTAGCGCGTTCTGGATGGAGTCGGGGTCGACACCAGTTGCGATTGGGAACGGACCTGGGCAGCGATGGCGAACGACTTGAGAAGCGATTGCGATCGACTGGTGAAGCGTTTTACACTGCGATCTGATTAGCGTTTGGAACGCTTCCGTACCGCGATTGGGTACGCGGCGTTCGGAACGCAGTTCGCGAGTGTTTGAGCGATTTATGTATCTATGATCCAATGGAAGGACAAGGACGAAGTAATGAAGCTGCAGGGAAATACCAACCTCAGCAGAAATCAAGCTTCTTTCAAGTGGCCTAATAATGCTGAAACAGAAAAGCACAATCAACAATCATCTTTTGGGAGGCTGCACTATGTTACTGAATTTCAAGATAGTTTTACCCCATGGTTGAAGATAGACTTCCAGCTCCCTGATATCTAGACTATATCTCAAATGATCATCAATGCTTTTGTCCATGTATTTTTGTATCTGGCAATATGCAAGCTGAAGAGGCAAGGGAGTGCTAGTATGGGTTTCACACATACCCTAGCAGAAGGGGAGGCCCTTAAAGAAGAGAACTCCGATATGCAAGGTTTGAACCAACAGTTTCAGAGATGGAAGGATGCTAAACTGGAATGGTATAATGGTGGGAACAAGGGGTATGGGCTGCAAAATCTGGAAGGAATAGTTGAAAGGTGTGTTATCAGTCAGTATATTGGAAGAGAGGGGCTGGAGGTGCATGCTTATGAGGCACCACCAAAAGAAAATGCAGAGAAGGGTAACCAGCAGCTGTACTCTATCAAGATGGAGGATTCTAAGGCTGCTGAAGTGAATGGCAGGAGCGCAGTGAAGATAACAGTAAAGAAAGCAGTGGAGTATTGGGAAGGAAGAGGTGAAAGAATGAAGAAGAAGTTGTTCATCAGAACTGTCTCCTATGACCCACCTTGAGGACAAGGTGGTTGTCAAAGGGGGAGTAATGTTAGGAACCTAAGAATATTATCAAGTCTTTTAATATTTTGTAATAAAATGGGTTTAAGCCTTATATCTAAGTAGAGGTAGGCTGGCCCATTAGAGAATGAATAAATAAGGGGAGCTGGAAATGGAAGGGGGGGGGGGGGGAATTATTTGGGACTTGGGAGCTGGCATTCTCTAACTGCCGATATATTTCTCTTTCTATACTCTCTGTTATACGACACTTTCAGTTCATATGCCTTCTATCTTCTTCATCTTGATTCGTGAATTTACTGTGAAATTGCCTGTACCTAACAGTTAGAAGGACTATACTGTTGATTTTGAGCAGAAACACAAATAGGTTCTTTGATTCTGAGCAAAAATTCAAACAACTTGTTTGATGTTTCCTTCCTTTCAATTTTTATAGGATAGGTTTAAAAGTTGGGAGTCTAGTGGAGTTGAAGTTGTGCCAGTATTATCTCAACCAGATGATTTTTGGGAAGGAGAGCGTGGCTATGTGCAGGTAGTCAATCAATACTTATACTATTTTCACATTCTTTCCTTTCTCTTGTTTACTTTCCTTGCATGGCAATGACCATACCTTGAGCCTCTTTTTTACAGGCTGCATTTGCCAAAGCCAAAAAGCTTTTTAGAGCACAGTCAACCGGTGCAGTCCTTTGTGGACAAAAACCAATGGCTGAGGTGTGTGGTTTTATTTTCTTCATAAACCTTGAACTTCCAGCTGTTTAAAATCCGGTTTTGAGTTTCCGGATAGAAGATCAATGTTTTGTGTCCACGGAAAAGTATAATTGTTAAAATAGATGAAGTTCGAGTCTTTTTGTATGAAAGATAAAGAATAGAAATATATGATAGATTTGTGAATTTAATAATAGTTAGTGATATAATAAGCTAATAATCCTTTTATCTCCTTTTGTGATGAAATTGGTAATAAATATCACTACCTCCGTCCCACTAAGATTGGGACAATTTGGTTTACGATGCTTGACCGACGATAAAGCAAACAGATCCCTGTCCGCTCTCAAATTATTTTTAGGAAAAAAAATTACATATTCAGAAACTACATTAAAAGCTTTACAAAGTCGCAAAAACAAGAATCGAATTTGATAAAAATTTGATATATAAAGTAAGTGATTAAGAGTGATTTGTGTTGACTAAGTGAATAATGTCTGAGACAATCTTAGCGGGACGGAGGGAGTATTACATTACTCTGTATTAATACCTCCGCCTTCCTAACATTGGTACAAGAGGAGGCGGTGTGGTTACTTAGAAAAATGAGTTTATGTGGTTTATATTGAACTGATAAAGTGAAATTAAAGGAAGACTGATTTAGAACCACACAAACATTACCGAATTTGGTATGAGACAATCATATTGGGATGAACCAAAAAAGAAAGACGAGACAATCTTAGCAGGACGGACCAAAAAGGAAAGATGAGACGATCTTAGCGAGATAAAAAGAGTTTATTTTTAATCAGAAGCAATATGTTTGCCAATAACTGGCCATCAATGATATGCTTATTGTCATATGATGATATGATGATGTGGTGTCATCAGATTTGTTACCATTCATAAAAGCCCATTCATTGGCTGGTTCTGGTGACACCTCAGCTGAGGGCAACACATGGCATGTCATCAATGATAGTTTATCATTGTTAAATTACAAAAGTAAAAATCAATTACATACTATGTTTTTTATTCATATCTTTCTGAGTTTTGGTAATCATCTCTTTTTGAAAGAATCACTAGTAAATCATCATACTACTATAGTCAACTGGCTAAATCTTGTACCTGCAGATAGCCTAGGTGCACAATTACATGCTTATTCACCCCGTTGTTATTTTGTAGTCTGATAACCCCATTTGGCTTAACGAGAAACTCTCTTGGTACATTTGACCTCAAACTAAATTCTCCAAGTTACTTTTCACTTGCATGATGATCTCGTATTTCACTTGTGCAAAAATGTGTTTATTTGAAGACGTATCAAGTGCATTTTTGGCTTGACTAGCTTTTGAACGTGTTTTTCAGTTGTTAAGCTTTTTGTAGCTAAAAGTTTTTTAAGTGAAAAACGGAATAGCTGTTTGATGCAAACTCTTTGAGTCTTTTCCCATGTAGCGTTAGAGAAAAGCTTCAAGATTCCAAGAAAAGCTTGCTTACCAAAGACATAGTGATGGTCTTATGCATACTTGAAAAAATTATAGAAAGCCAGAACCTCTAATACTTGTAAGTGTAATACTAATGCACCCTAACTGCATATCCTATAAACTATTGCAGGAGGTAACTTCTATACTTATAGCTGATGGCGTCTCGGCTGAAAAGATATTGAAGAATTTCTGACCTCAGAATTTAGAACCAGATTGTTGTATTACTATTGAGTTTTCAATAGCAACAAAAAATTAATTTGACCTGGGCAGACAGCATACTGCAACTTTTTTGCACAAAGTTTGGTTGCTGCATTCACATTTGATCTCAAACCGACCACAAGGTAGTGATAGATGCTCGGAGTTTGTAGGTGCAGACTTTATACTCTTCATTTTTGCCGTCTGTCTATTATCATATGAACTGAGATGGAGCACAACTTTGATCCAATATAGAAATAATAATAATTATATTATATCGTAGAACTACATTCTTTGTATTGAAAAAAGAGTCAGAGTTTTGTATGTACATTTGAAATATTTGTATCAGAAGTTTTGTGATGGATATTCTTTGTCTTGAACAGAAGTTTGAAATTGTATGAGTGTTCAGGTACTTCAAACGTTTGTATTTGTGGTTTGTTTCGTTAATTGCCAGTATCATTTCACTCTTTAGATAAAGAACATATACAATCAGGGGCGGAGGTACTAGGGGGTCAAGGGGGTCAGTGGACCCTGCTGGAATTTTGGAGAAAAAAAAAATAATTAAACAACGTCGTTTTTGAAACCCAAAGAAATGTTATACGCAAACCCCTTCTGCCTGACTTATGCGTGAAGGTTTTGCCCGCAATTCCACAAACCCCTTCTCCCAGAGATAATCAGCCGTTCAACTCAACTGGTCCGCCGTCTTCCGCGCCTTCCTCAGCCCGCAGAGCCGCAGTCCCACAGGTTACAGAAGACAGCCGCAGTGTTCTTCTCCAGTCAGGCACACCGCACACCGCAGCTTTAGTGGTCTTCTCCAGCCGGCCGACTCTTCTTTTATCTTCACCGCCTCAAGCCTTCAAGCTTCAAGTAAATGTGAATTGCAACCTTGCAGGTTAGTTTCTAATTAGAACTTTAGAAGTATTGAGCATTTAGAGGCTGTAATTGAAGGGTTTAAACATTGACTTTGAGGTGTTCACTATTGGGGGAAATAATTAGGTAAATGTTAGAGAAATCATTGAGTTTGAAGTGTTCACATATGAAATTGTAGATAGATTGCAGACTACATTGATAGACATGCTTTCTTGAAGAGTTGAAAATTCAACTGGCAGATTGAACTGAATAGGAGTTTGAGCTGAAGAGTAATAACTGGCAGATTAAAACAGGAGTTTGAGCTGAAGAGTTAAAACTGGGAATTAAAACAGGAGTTTCAGTTGAAGAGTTAAACCGGCAGATTGTACTAAATAGGAATTTGGACTAAAGTTTATCAGGATAAGATATGAATTATTAAAAATTATCATAAAGAACTAAAAGATCACACATTTTGATTTATTTGAACTTTTTAAATTTTATTGCTGATCTTTATTGAAGAGTTGAAGCTGATTTAATTCCCTGAATAAATGTAAGAGAAAATTGATTAGGAAAGTATTAGTCCTGATCTGAATTCTGATGATATATGAAGAAGTTACACAGTGTTACTAAATACAACATTGTTTGTTACCTCATGGTTAAACTTTCCATTTTTTCGTACATGAATCCAAACTTTCTCCATCCTGGTTAATTTTTTACCAACTCCCCTAATTTGAAAGTTTTATTACTTCAATTTTATGTTCCATTTATACTACTCTACTGCCCCATTTTTTTAAAAAGTTTATTAATTTCATATTTCATATTTCGTATAACTATAGTATATTATATACTTGTTCACTATGAGTCTGTGATATACATTATTGTAATTTCTTATGTTGTATTTTCAGTTGGCACTTAGCTATGAATGAAAGCAGCTCGTACAAAAGAAAAGATAGATCCGAAGAGGTTTTATCAAATCAAGATGCTCCAGCAATACCGAGGGTTCACCAACCTATTGAAAATAATATGGAGGCACTCGAGAGGGATCCGGCTAAAAGGAAGAGTATTAATCTGTATGATGTAAATTTAAGGGATATTGTGCGAAGACGTTATCTACAATCGGGCCCATTTCAACCTCAAAACTATAAATTTCCTATTCAAGTGATTTCCGGAGCTAATAGACGATTTAACCCTCTTTGGTTTAAAGAGTTCAGTAATTGGCTTAAATATAGTATATCGGAGGATTCTACCTACTGTTTATTTTGCTACCTTTTCAAAGATGCAAATCATGGACATCAAGGTGGCGGGGATGTTTTTGTTACTGAAGGGTTTAATAATTGGAAGAAGGGGGTTGAGAGGTTCCGTGGACACATAGGGAAGCCAGATAGTGTTCATGATAGATGTGCTCAAGGTTGTCGAGATCTAATGAATCAAAATCAACACATTGAAGTGTGTATTGAAAAACAATCAGAGCAAATGAAGAAAGAGTACCTTGTACGTTTAACTGCATCCATTGACTGTATACGGTGGCTTTTGAGACAAGGGTTGCCTTTGCGTGGACATGATGAGTGCCATGAATCAAATAATCGAGGGAACTTTCTTGAGCTCTTAACATTCCTCGCCGATCATAATGAAGATGTTTCCAAAGTAGTGATGCGAAATGCACCCGGAAATCACCAGTTGACTTCTCCACCTATCCAAAAGGATATTCTCAATGCAATTTCAAAGGAGACAACAAATCTTATCCTTAAGGAAGTTGGAGATGATTTTTTTGGCATATTAGTTGACGAGTCTAGAGACATATCAGTGAAAGAGCAGATGATTGTTTTCATTCGGTATGTGAATGCAAATGGGTGTATTATTGAGCGTATTCTTGGAGTTACTCATGTAAGTGATACTACTTCTTTATCACTTAAGGTGGCTGTTGAGTTTAATCCAACACGATATGGTAAATATATGTATAAATGTGTATGAACAAGCTATTTTTACGTGGAAACCCGGAAAGGGAGAAAACCACGGGACTTTTTAGGCTAATGTCCAAGCCCTCTCATTCTCATTAGGACTCTCCTCACCATTACACAGTACAATTTGAGCTCCCATTAATGGAGTAGTGAACTAGCTAGAGAGAAAATAAGAGTTGGGGAAGAAGGAAAAGAATCCTTTACATGGAGGGAAAACCTCCTATAAATAGGGAAAGGGGTGAGGGAAGTACTCCACCCTAATGGGCCAAACGGGTCGATGTCGGGCCTAATGGCCAAAGTGGGCCAGAATGGGCCGAAATGGACCTAGCTGCTCGGGCTCCGTACTGGATAATGTCTTGGGCTCCTGAACAGTAATAGGCCGGGATAATATATCCCAACACAAGTCCCCCAGTTTCTTGAGTAGTGAGTGTGCGAATCTGCTCGAGAAAATATAGTCTTGCCTGCGCTCTTCCTCTGTCTTGCTGGAAACTGTGTCTTCGAATAATCATAATATATGAGTGGCTGTCTGCACTCCTGAACGTAATCTGCCGGTGAGGCACCCCCCTTCCCGACGGGGTCGGGCGAAGGGTGCTCCTCCACGGGCACACTCCCCCTGAATGCATCAGGCGGGAGTAAAGGACTCTGACTCGAGCTTTCCAATCGGAGAAGCTTAGAGGTCCATGCATCTATGAACCGACGTCGCGGTACTGTCAAAACATGATGCACGTGTGTATGTATGAATGTATGAGGTATGATGCATGAATGCATGAATGCATGTAATGTATGGGTGCAATGTATGAGAGAAGGAATGTGAGATGTGATAGGAAGTGGTGGCTCTCATCGATAAACCGGGCATGTCAGCGCCGAGAGGCAGACGTGCTGCATAAGATGGTCGTCGCCATCCTAGAAGGGATGGGCGATCCGGAGATGAACTCGACACAATGGCACGGCGGGGCCGATTGTGCTGCATAAGATATCCGTCCCCATCCTGGAGGAGATGGGCGACCCGGAGATGAACTAGACACGATGGCACTGAGGGGCCAATCATGCTGCATAAGAGACGTTCGTCGCCATCCTGGAATGGATGGGCGAGCCGAACCGTGAGTCTGGACACGATGGCGCTGAGGGGCCGATCGTGATGCATAAGACGTTCGTCGCCACCCTGGAAGGGATGGACGAGCTGAACGTGAGCTGGGTACGATGGCGCTGAGGGGCCGATCGTACTGCATAAGACGGTCGTCGCCATCCTGGAGGGAATGGGCGAGCCGAACCGTGAGTCTGGACACGATGGCACTGAGGGGCCGATCGTGATGCATAAGACGTTCGTCGCCACCCTGGAAGGGATGGACGAGCTGAACGTGAGCTGGGTACGATGGCGCTGAGGGGCCGATCGTACCTGCATAAGACGGTCGTCGCCATCCTGGAGGGAATGGGCGAGCCGAACCGTGAGTCTGGACGCGATGGCGCTGAGGGGCCGATCGTGATACAGACAAATAGTGATGATCATCTCATGGTCCTCGGCCTGTCGGTGAGTGGTAATCGTCTCTGATGTGTCAAGTCTCTCTCCTGATTGGCTGTGAGAAGCCGATCGTCTGCCAGGACTCCATCCGGGAAGGAATGGTGAGCCTGAAATAAATCTGGGCGATGTCCCTCCTACCTGATCTGGGGAGCTAATCGTCGTTCGTCTACCGTATCCGTGGTCCTATGTACGGACTGCTAAGCGGTGTACACTCGGTACGCAACAGACTCCGGTGGAGAATTGGTCCTTCGTGTCTGATCCGTGGAGCTGGTCTTCGTTCGTCTACCGTATCTGTGGTCCTATGTATGGACCGCTAAGCGGTGTACACTCGGCACGCAACAGACTCCGGTAAAGAACTGGTTCTTCGTGTCTGATCCATGGAGCTGGTCTTCATTCGTCTACCGTATCCGTGGTCCTATGTATGGACCGCTAAGCGGTGTACACTCGGCACGCAACAGACTCCGGTAAAGAACTGGTTCTTCGTGTCTGATCCATGGAGCTGGTCTTCGTTCGTCTACCGTATCCGTGGTCCTATGTATGGACCGCTAAGCGGTGTACACTCGGCACGCAACAGACTCCGGTAAAGAACTGGTCCTTCGTGTCTGATCCATGGAGCTAGTCTTCGTTCTTCCCAAGTCTCGTGAGTTACTGGTCTCCTGGTTTCGCAGGAGACGTTTGTCATCCCAACTATGAGAAGAAACAGGTTTATCCACGTCGGGATTCCCTATCTCTGTTCGTCCCCAGTCGTGAGTTACTAGTCTTCTGGCTTCGCAGAAGACGTTCGTCATCCGTCCATCAAGGGGGAGGAACTGGTATACCCTGTCAGGGTTCCCGTTTCTTCGTTCGTCCCTGTCGTGATCCTACTAATCTTCTTCCCTCGAAAAAGACGTTCGGCATCCACCGATCGCAAGGAGGAACTAGTTTACCCTATCGCGGGTTCCCTGCTTCGTCGTCTCATGCTCGTGGCCCTACTAGCCTTCTGCTCTGGCAGAAGGTGTTCGTCGATCCACGGGAAATGGGAGGAACTAGTTTATCTTGCCGAGGTTCCCTTTGGTTTGTCTACCCCCCCCCCCCCCCTCGCGTTCCGACTAACCTCCGTGTCAGGAGTCGTTCGTCATTCGCGGGTAGTGGAAGATCTGGCATACCTCGTCAAGACTCCCTCTCTCATAGGAGCTTGTCTCCCCTTCTCCCCATCTATTTTTTTTTAGGGAGGAAAATAAGTGATGTCACATAAAATGGTGGTGGGATACCAAAACAAATAAAATGACGAGGCGTTGGAAACCAAAACAAATAAAATGACGAGGCGTTGGAATAGCTGGTCGTCATGCGAAGGCGGTGGTCACCCTCCTGGAGGGGAGGGGTGAGCCCGATCGCTAACTCAAGAAGGTCGGCATTGGGAGCCGATAATGATCATAATGTCGCTGATCAGTCGGTCCTGATAAGGAGATGACAATAGTGTCCGATCAGGCCGATATATCCGAGCAACGGCTCTCATCCACGCAGCGCGGGGATGAAACTGGTCTTCAAATATGATGGTGGCACCGTACCAGGAGGTCGGTGGCCATGTATTACGTCGGCGCTGGGGCCGATCCAAAGAGAGATAATCAGCGGTCCTCATCCGCGAGGAGCGGGGACGAGGCCGATCTTCAAGTATGGAAAACACGCCGAGCCGGGGGGCCGGTCGTGATATAATGATGTCGGCAATGAGAGGCCGATCTGAGATCCAGCAACGGTCCTCTTCCACGCAGCGCGGGGACGAGGCCGGTCTTCAGATAAGATAATCACGCTGTGCTGGGAGGCCGGTCGTGACATAATGATGTCGGCAATGAGAAGCCGATCTGAAATCCAGCAATGGCTCTCATCCGCGCAGTGCGGGGACGAGGCCGGTCTTCAAATAAGATAATCACGCCGTGCCGAGAGGCCGGTCGTGATATAATGATGTCGGCAATGATAGGCCGACCTGAATCCAAGCAACGGTCCTCATCCGCGTAGTGCGGGGACGAGGCCGGTCTTCAAATATGCTAATCATGTTGTGCCGAGAGGCCGGTCATGATATGATGATGTCGTACGGCCCTCGATCGTAACAGTCTCTTTCAGGCCCTCGGCCTCTAAATGATGGATGATCGTCTCACGATTCCTTGCCGTCGTAGTCCCCTCTAGATCATCGGCCTCTAGGTGTTCTTCCTAGGCCATCGGTCTCTGGGGTGGAGATGTTTGTCCCACAGTTCTCAACCGTGGTGGTCTCCTCTAGGCCCTCGGCCTCTGGGTGGAGATGCTCGTCTCTCGGCTCTCAGCCGTGATGGTCTCCTCTCTAACTGGCCCTGAACGTCTTTGAGACTCAGGCCGAGCGTCTTTTAATCATTTCGCTCGATCACGTCGAGTGGCTTCAGCTGCGTAACTAACATGGTAACGGGCCGCACGGCCCGACAATAAATATGCACACATAACCATCTGCATGGCTTTCTCTTTAACACCCACGATTACCGGCCTATGGGTCATCGTGACCCTCGGCCCGACTCATCGTGCGGGGTTAATGGACGTAGCAGCTCGCGGCGGGGCCATTTAGCAGCCTACCGAACGTCACATAAAAATATTCATCGGTCTGTGAGTTTTCAAACTCAGACCCAAGTTAGTCGCACTGTCCTCGAGAAAACGAGGTTGGGCGCTTTGGCGCCCTCGGGCCCCACAGGCCGCGTTTGGCATAGTAACTTCGCCTAGTGGCGCAGATGGTACTAGGGTACAATCGTCGCTCGGGCACTTGGTGCCGTGCGGACTAATGCGTAACCCCCAAATTAAAACGCGTCATCGGGGCACTACCCTCTGGAGACGCTCAGATCGCTAATCAAAGCCGATCGAGAGTGGGCTAATTAGGCCCATCAACAATTAAACATTTAATAAAATGTTGGCCGAACTAACTATCACTAGATCTTCGCTCAGCATTATTTAATTCGGGACATTTTTATCCCTAATAAATAATAGTGATGTGACATGTAATAGCACTGAGGCTATTCTATCATAGGTCATTCAGATATGCTCCGATCGCTAATTAAAGCCAATTAGGAGCGGGCCAATGGACCCACAACAACCAGTCATCTAATTTAAATGACGGTCAAACTAATTATCACTAGAGCTTTTACTCATTTGAGCCTTGCTCGGCATTATTTAATTTCGGGAGTTTTAACTCCTATTAAATAATGGTGACAAAAATTGATAATAGCAACCCAAGCATCTAATATCATTATCCCAAATAATAAATTAGTAAACAAGGGAGTTCGTATGATACTTAGCTCTTGGATTAGAGGCTCGGCCGGTGTTGATGTTGTGTAGAGCAAGATTTGCTTCCTTTTTCCCTTTTTTTTTTTCAATTTTCGATTTTGACTTGGTCAACACCCATCAACCTATGGACCCAGCTCCTGATTCATCCATCTGTTGGTCAACTCCTCAAAATCAATTGGCCTCCTGTCACTTGGTCTCAAACCTGCGGACGTGGTCTGCCTTAGATCAAGGCATTGTATGCGGAGCATATCATTTAGACAAGGCAGGTGGAGCACCCTCCTACCAATCCAGACGCAGTTCGTACTTGCCGACCACTTTCTGCGGGTAGAGATGGTGGTCGCGGCAGAGCAAGGACAGCCTGAGCGGCTAGTCTCTAGTACCTTTCCGTGAGCTATACACCACCGTTAACGGCCGGAATCCCAGAACTCCTAGCCGGGAGGTACCTCGAGTCACGTCGGCAGGGTGGTGGAGGCTCTCACGGCCTCAGAGTAGGTGAAGGAGTGGCCTGCGATTGGTGAGCAACTGTGTTGCAGGTGCTGCAAGATCTGGAGTGCTGCAGCGGCTTCGTTGGCTGCAGGTGAACACAATGGAGGGTCCACGGCGGTCGGGGATGGTGATGGCGGCTCCGGTAACCCCAACCCAGCTCTAGGAAAATCCAGACTTGACTCCCAGACTTCACCATCTCCTCCTTTCTTCTTGCTCGGTCAATTGGGCAGGCGCTGCTGGCAACCACATTCTTGCTTCAGATCCGGAGCTTCCCAAGGCCAAAGCTCCAGAATTTTTTCTTTCTTTTTGCTGAAATCATTTTTCTTTCCCTATAATTTCTTCTTCCTTGTTCCCAGAACCTTCATCCTCATGTTTTGCTTTTCAGAATCCTTTTTCTTGTCGGAAATCAGTCTTTTTCCGTATGAATATTTGTGTAGAACACATGAATCTTTTTGGACAGATTCCCACAGACGGCGCCAGTGTTGAGTTTAATCCAACACGATATAGTAAATATATGTATAAATGTGTATGAACAAGCTATTTTTACGTGGAAACCCGGAAAGGGAGAAAACCACGGGACTTTTTAGGCTAATGTCCAAGCCCTCTCATTCTCATTAGGACTCTCCTCACCATTACACAGTACAATTTGAGCTCCCATTAATGGAGTAGTGAACTAGCTAGAGAGAAAATAAGAGTTGGGGAAGAAGGAAAAGAATCCTTTACATGGAGGAAAAACCTCCTATAAATAGGGAAAGGGGTGAGGGAAGTACTCCACCCTAATGGGCCAAACGGGCCGATGTCGGGCCTAATGGCCAAAGTGGGCCAGAATGGGCCGAAATGGACCTAGCTGCTCGGGCTCCGTACTGGATAATGTCTTGGACTCCTGAACAGTAATAGGCCGGGATAATATATCCCAACAGTGGCCATAGTAGATCTCCTAACACGACATGGATTAAGTGTTTCGAGAATACGAGGCCAAGGTTACGACGGAGCAAGCAATATGCGAGGTCAGTTCAATGGCTTAAAAACTTTATTTTTGAATGAGAACCCAAGTGCTTTTTATGTTCACTGTTTTGCTCATCAATTATAATTAGCACTTGTGGGTGTTGCAAAAGAAAATGAAGATGTATCGATGTTTTTCTTATTTGTCTCACAACTATGCAATGTTGTGTGTGCTTCGTGCAAACGTAGAGACAAATTGAGAGATAAGCAAATAGAGCGTTTGGTGGAATCCATATCTATGGAAATAATTGAAACAGGTTCTGGTTTGAATCAAGAAGCAACCTTGAAACGCCCTGGAGATACACGTTGGGGTTCTCATTATGGTGCACTTGTTAGCATTATCAAGTTGTTCTCTATTGTTGTTGAAGTTCTTGAAGAGGTAAGGCAAGATGGTAGTGATGCAAGAAAAAAACAGAAGCATTGGTAACTCTTAACCATATTGAGTGCTTTGATTTTATCTTTTTGTTGCACTTAATGAAGAATGTTTTGGGCATTACCAATGAATTGTCACAAGCATTGCAAAAAAAAAGATCAAAACATAGTGAATGCAATGAGGCTTGTTGACATCTCAAAACAACGATTACAAGAAATGCGAAGCGGTGGTTGGGAGACTTTATTAGACGAGGTATCAATGTTTTGTAACCAACGTGAGATTGATATCCCTAACATGGATGATGTTTATGCAGCTCCAGGAAGGTCACGCCATAACATTCAAGAAACGAAAAATCTTCATAGATATCGTTTTGAGAGGTTTTACATGGTCTTGGATCGTATGTACGAGGAGTTGAATGATCGTTTCAATGAGAAAAACACGGAGTTACTTCTTTGTGTAGCATGTTTTGATCCGAGGAACTCATTTGCTAGATTCAATAAAGAAAAGTTAATTCGGCTTGCGAATTTTTATCCGAATAATTTTTCTGAGATTGAGTTGGAAGTGCTGGATAATCAACTTCAGACTTATATTATGGATGTTAGATCCGATGTCGACTTCTCTAATTTGGTTGGTATTGATGAGGTCGCTAAAAATTGGTGGAGACTATGAGACATTTGGACTACACTTTGGTGTTTTTGCTTCTGAAGTTGGTTTTGATTTTACCGGTTGCGATGGCCAGTGTAGAAAGAGCGTTCTCTGCAATGAAGATAATTAAAAACTCATCGCGGAATCGTCTGAGCGATGATATGCTAAGTGATTGCCTAGTGCCATATTTTGAAAAAGATGTCTTTGACAGTGTGCCGAATGAGAAAGTTTTACAACGATTTTAGAATATGAGGGAACGTCGCCATATGCTACCACGCACTACGGCATAATCATGTACGTCCGTTTACTCTTCTTTATGTTTTATCCAATTTTCTTTTCTTGGAACTTCTTTGTATTTGCACTATTTTTAGGTTTTAAATATGTTATGTCTTTTTATGTCTGGTCAAGTTTTTAATATTACAACGCCGCCTTCTTTTATTGTAAACTCTTGGCTCATGATCTTTTAATATAATATACGGAGTATTTGGCATTTGTTCTAAAAAAAATTGTTATGCCTTTAGTTTTCGACCCTGCTGAACCAAATTCCTGGCTCCGCCCCTGTATACAATCCACTACCCATGCAATGATTTAGGGTCTGTTTGCAACAGCTTCTGCTTTTAAAAAAGTGCTTTTTTTAATGAAATGGGGAGAAGTGATTAAATAAAAGTTGATAGTGTTTGAGAAAAAAGTGATTTTGAAAAGTAAAAGTGGGTAGTGTTTGGTAAAATAAGTGTTTTTTGTGTAATAGAAAAAGTAAAAGCACTTTTGACGCGGAAGCCGAGAAAAATAAAAGTTGTAGTGTTTGGGAAAATAAGTGTTTTTTTAAAGCCAAAAACTAAGAAGTGCTTTTTTAAAAGTAGTTGCAAACCAACCCTTAGACCAAAAAAATCAATTTGAGTCATTTCACCCTATTTTGTGCAATACATGCATTTAGGGGTTGAACCATGTATTTATTCCGTTGAGCATTTAGGGTTGACCCTAATCACCCCTCGTTAGGCATTATTAGAGCATCTCCAATCCTTGGTTGTTGACATTAAAAAATTTAGAGATAAGGGTCAGATAGGGTCTCGAACTTGAAAAAAAATGTCAAATAAGGCCATATTTAGGATGATCTGTCTGGCCGACGCCATTTGGGGTGGTTCCCAGTAGAATTTTTTTATGAAAATTTTTGAGAATCTTATTCATTAAGTCTAGTTTACTCATATCAAATTTGAACTAAAACTTTAATCGGGAAGGCATTCAAATGAATTCTTGAAGATAACTGTACCGTTAAAAGCGCAGTTATCTTCATGAATTCATTTGAATGCCTTCCCGATTGAATTGTTAGTTCAAATTTGATATGAGTAAACTAGACTTAATGAATAAGATTCTCAAAAAAATTCATCAAAAAATTCCACCGGGAACCACCCCAAATGGCGTCGGCCGGACAGAGCATCCTAAATATGGCCTTATTTGACATTTTTTTTCAAGTTGGAGCCCTTATCTGACCCTTATCCCAAAAATTTATGACACATGTCAATAGATGTATGGAGTGTCTAACCACATAGGATGAGTGTTAAAACCCAAAATTTGAAATCCTCAAAAGCCTCCCCAACGCAGCACGTCGAGATCATGCTGTTTTGTATAACTGGAATTTAATTAATTCAAGTTTAAGCCTTCCGTAACCAATCTGCCTGTATGTCTGGCTTTTGAGAATGGGAAAGTGGGTTTGAAAGTGGGTTTGAAAGTGTTGACATTCAATCTGCCTGTATGAATGGGAAAGTGGGTTTGAAAGTGTTGACATTCAATTTTGACAACTCAGCATCATTTGTGCGAATAAAGAGAGCATTGAAGCAATTTTTTTTGACACACTTTCACAGCAAATTATGTGGCTCCATTTTTTACTGTTAAAAGCATCCCATTAGAGATGCTCTTATACTCCGTATGATGTTTCATAGTTTGAGTTTCAGTCTGCAAAATCAATGTCTGATTACTACGTACTCTGTATTACGTAGTAATATTTAGGAACATATGTTTATAAAATCTATAGTAAACTAAGTCTTTGGTTAATTCTTGTTCTTGGTTATAAAACCATAGTTTCATGGTTATATTTATAAGTTTTAATTTCATTAGTTAATTTTTGTAGCCTGAAAAATTAACCAACGAAAAAGTGTAAAATGATAAACTAACATATAAGATTTTAAACAGTCTCTTAAATTAAAAGATTACATTAAAACTCAAAAATCAGGTGATATTAGAGCACGATCCAATTGTGGTTTATTATTTACTAGTATTCTTACCCGTGCCGTGCACGAGATAAAATGATTTTGTTGTTTAGTTTTACCAGCGGGAAATCACTTATTTAATTGATTATAACATTGGTTTAAAATGCATTTTCTAATTTATTGAGTATGCCTTATTTTTGAACTAAGTATCTAAACATGTTGCGGTCTAGACTTAGTAACACACAGTTGCATCGAATTGAAATTAATATATTATCTATAGATACCTCTAGAATTTATAACGAAGAGTAAGTAGGGTAAATAACATACTCCCTCCGTCCCAGGGAGAAGTCCCGGATTGACTTTCACACATATTAAGGAAATAAAGTTACTGGGGGGTAAATTTTACTGTTTGGCACTGTTTCGATACTGTTTGGCACTGTTTCGACACTGTTTTGCACTGTTTTGCACTGTTTGGCACTGTTTTGATGTAGAATAACTTTCCCTTTAGGGAAATGAGAACTTCTTGTTGGGACTGCCAAAAAAGGAAATTGGGAACTTGTCCGTGGGACGGAGGTAGTAAATACTCTGTATTTTTTTCTCGAAGAAGACAAACATCGCATTGCTTGTAATAAAAAATATGGAAAAGCAACAAGTACCAGTCGGATCAACTGTACACAGTACACAAGACATAAACTTAAACCACCAAACCATCATATCCAAGCTATTAACATTGTTATGCTAACCGCATCATAAATGGTTTGTAGTCAAGTAAAAAATTTAGCAATTACACATGTTCTATACTCCGTATATCGCATCATTTTTTCAAAATCCTATATCAACTAGACCCTACGGTAAAATATTATCCCTTTCAAAATCCTAAAAACAACTTCCCACTTTCCTTAAATGGATGTCTCAAAATTAACTTCACACTTCAATACTTTCCTTATTTGGCAAATTATCTACATCAAAAAAGTGATAAACAGTGCCAAACAGTGTTTAAACAGTGCCAAACAGTGTTTAAACAGTGCCAAACAGTGTTTAAACAGTGCAAAACAGTGCATTCTATAGTAAAGTCAAATTTATTTCCTAAAAGTGTGTGAAAATTCAACCGGGAAGTTATTTTCGGGACGGAGGGAGTACGTAGTAGTAAATACCCCCATTTTGAAGAGAAAATGCTACAAGTAGCTCCAGTCCCAAAAACATTCCTAATTTTTGAAGAGAAAAGGTGACAAGTAGGTTCGAAGGCTATAGGTAGACGAAGTTGAATGTGAATAATTTTAACATATTTTTGAATAATTTTGGCATTTTCTTAACCACATTGCTCTTATGCGTCTTAATAAGAAGAGAAGATGGTGAATTTGAGTGGCCAAATTAAAATCACACGTTTCATTTGTTTTCAATGAATAAAGCGCAGAGTACATCCAGAAGACATGTCAATGAGACAGACATCTTCTCCTAAGCACCCACTCCAGCCAACTCCAGCTGCTCAAGTCTTTTGTGGCTGTGATGGTGATGGTGGTGATGCCTGTGGCGGTTCCTTTTATGCCTCTCACTTCTTTTATACTCATCTTCATTTTCATCATCACATGAAGACTCTGAAGTGCCAGAATGAGACCGCTTGTGATGCTTTTTGTGGTGCCTCCTTCCAGTGTCATCACTATCATCATATGAAGAGTTTCCATCATGCTTGTGCTTCTTGTGAGCCCGTTTCTTCCTCCTATTATTTTCCTCTGAATCATCACTACTACTGTATCCGTCACTACCAGAATGTGAGCGTCTATGACTCTTGTGGTGATGCTTCCTGTGCCTCTTGTGAGAGTGAGACTTCTTGATGACTTTTCTATCATAATCACTTTCACTGTCACTGTCATCAAACTCTGAATCAGATCTCCTCTTGTTTTTGGCAGTGGTCGACTTTGACTTCTTCTCTTTAGCTTCGGCGTCTGCCCGTGCCTTAGCTGCGGCCTCTAGCTTCTCTTCCCACTTCAGGCGAGCTTCGTTCTTCTCCAAAGCTCTCCTTTTTTTCTCCTCGACCAATTGTATGAACTTTTTTGCATCCATTTAAATGACTGAAAAAATTCTGCATTTTGGTATGATGAAGACCAAAGAAATGCATCTCAAAGATGAGAAATGAAACAATGTTAGTTCCTCCATCTTAAGTTCTCAACACACAATCTAAATGATAATAACAATTTAAAGGAAAACAAAATACAAACTTTATGTAAAATTTATTTTGTGGGATTTGGGACGCTGTCATGAGGGGGGGGGGGGGGGCAACGAATGCAGATGTAGATGAAGTGTTTCCGTTCCAAATAAGCAATCATATAAATAGTATGGAATATTCCAAATCCGTAACAACGAAAGGGATACTGTGCTCACACAACTAAAGTGAGTTTGCACTCACAATGCATTACAACAACACACCCACACAAATCACATATACGAATATGAATGGAGAAGTTGTTATACTAGTCAATTTGCAAAATGGGAAAACACCAATACTAGGCAAACTTATTTGAAAATAAACATCAATGAAAAAATAAGATTAAATGCAAGCTGAAGCTAGAAACAGCATAAATCGAAAGTATCCATGGTTAGAAACGACGGTTAAGAGGCAGGTTTCGAGGAACTTAAATGTGGGGCACATAGATTAGGTATTGAGGCTTAGGTTTTATTGCAAGATAAGAGGCTTACACATCAAAAGTCAAGCCGTGCACTTGAGACGCATCTCATGGCCTTTTTGGGGGCGGGATTTTCCTTGTATGTTAAATAAGGCCCCATAAATTTTATTTATAAAAGCCCTAACATTAAACATGTGTGTACACATGTACTTTCTAAACCCTAACAAGTTAGCCAAGTGAAATTATTAAAATATTTTCATTCTCCTGCACAATGATAAGAATGGGAGAAATTTGATAGTAATCATGGAACTATGGAAGGAATGAAGGTGCTAAAGAGTAAGGCCATAAGATATGATGATGGTGATGAGGCTATAAAATATGGTGATTGAGCTTCCAGATTTCTGAATTGTGTCATATGTGTGATGTATTTGTTTGTGTGCTGGCATTCTCCTTTTGAACTACTGTGTTTGAGACATTTTTACTTATAATTATGTATTTCCTTAGTTGCTTTTAGCAATTTATATATTTAATTTTTATTTGTAGGTATATTTTGAGGCTTACACCTTAATTAGCCTCAAGGCTTATGCCTTGCCTCTCCAGGACAAACTGCTGGACACCTGAACTAGGTTTTATAAAAATTGAACGTATCTAAGCAAATAATCACCAATTTCATCAAACTATCAGAGTATTTTAATTAACTGATAATAACAGAATCATTTGTAATTCTAGCTTAGCCCCTGCTTTTCATTTTTTCCCTTTTCACCCCCACTTTAACCTATGCAATCCATGTCAATCTATTATTTTCTTTGAATATCATCAGCAACAACCTTGGATTGGGTAGTAACAGCCTTAAATTACAGGGAAGATTCAAAGAGCTTGCTTTCTATCAAACAAAAAACATTATGCTGTAATACATTGCAACAATACAAAGTCAGTTCCTTACCTTGTAACAATTTAATCAAATCAATGTTAAAGAAGTCAAGCCTCCCTTGCCAAGAGCCAATGTTTGGCAGTGCTATATCCAAATACTGCAGCTGGAATCTGAATTAAAGTGAAAGGAAATTAGTCAACATGAATTTATTTCCCACAATTCTACCCATGCAAGAAAACATTTATCAAAATCTAAAACTCAAATTCTAGAAAGCGGTGTCTTTGCATGTCTAAGGGCAATAGGTGAAACACCTATTCTCAGTTGGTGAAGTACATAACTACATACAATGAATTATGTAACCATAAGCCCCATACTATAACTCAAGGGGAAAACGTATTTTATAGCATAAAAAACAAAGGAGATAAATCTGAACATATCTGGGTCCAAAGAATACGTCAAGCACAAAACTACATATAACCCTAATGACTGCCAAACGTAAGCAGTAAGGACTTGATGAACTGAACCCTGAATAAAACAAAAACTACAACAGCATAAACACATAAAAGATGGAAATTTCCAGGATTTAAAAAATAAGATTGATATAACGCAAGCATCTTAGTTATTGCCATGGAAAACTCAATACCATTAAAGAATAATAGAATAACAATGATGCGCAGAAAAAAACTTATAGAAAACCTAACACTGTAATATGTGAAAAATAAAAAAAAATTGGGGATTTAACATCAGATCGAAAGAAAAGAAACCATCTTATTTTAGGATAAAATAGATCTGAGTTGTATCTATTTCAAATATTTTCAACCCTGCTCCTAGATTTGTCCCCAGGGTTTCGTGTGTGGACGTCTCCTTGTAACATTAATCCATCAATTTATCATCACTATACTTTAGTGTTTACGGCAAGGCACCAAAACTTCACTTGTACAAAAGATTCCTACCAGCGCAGCAATTATACCAGAATCGAAACTTTAACATACAAAATGGTAGATAAGTAAAGAAACCCTAAAATAGTTAATCTGAAACTCAAATCGCATACCTTACAAAAGAAGGGGACAGATCTTGAGGCGCAGGCGCAGAAGAGGAGGTTTGACTTGCGCGTTATGTGAAAGTTCAAGGCTGAGATTTTGGGATAGGTGGCGTACGGCGATGGTAGGGTATATATATAGAGGAAAGAGAGGACACATTCACTGGCAACGGATTAAAATCGGATATGCCGCGTTTCTAAAATCCAAGACGCCGTATTTGGGCCTCTGTTTTGAATCTTTGATATCATACTAGAGCACAAAAAGTTTGGTAGCACAAAAATCAGCTAATTTAGTTGATTCTGCTGAAATTTATAAGGTTCTGGCTTAAGTAGCTGTATTGGCTGATTCTGCTGATTTAAAAAAAATTAAAAATATATTTTATTAATAAAATAAAGAAAAAATTATATGTAAAAATAGCTAAAATGACATCTACAGTAACTTCAGCCAATACAGCTAGGGCTGAGCAAAACCCGATCCGACCCGAAAAACCCGATATTTTTTTCGAATATTATCCGAACCGAAGTGGATATCCGACCCGAAAAACCCGAAACCGAAAATCCGATTAGTATTGGGCCTAGATCGGGTGGCGGGTAGGGTTTGTGAAATCCCAACCCGACCCGCCCGAATATCCGAAATATATGTTAGTGTGTACTTTGAATATTTAAATTAATACTTGTGTTCAATTATTTGTGTTATTATTTGTGCAATTTGTATTAAATTATTTGTGTAAATTGAATGTGTAGTGAACTAGTGTGCACAATTTTTGTTAAAGTGGCATTCCAACACTTTAACTATCCAATTATAATGTGTTTTGATATAACCAAAATATCTGAAATATATTAAATTATGTAGTGTGTACTTTGAATATGTTAGATTAATACTTGTGTTCAATTATTTGTGTAATTATTTGTGCAATTTGTGTTAAATTATTTGTTTAATTTGGAAGTTTAGTGCACTAATGTGTACAATTTTTGTCAGTGGCATTTAAACACTTTAATTATCCAATTACAATTTTTTTTAATATAACCGAAATATCCGAAACCCGACCCGATATCCGAAAATATCCGACATAAAAAAATCCGAAATACCCGATTCGAAATAGCAAAGGGTCGGGCCTAGTATTTAAATTAAAAAACCCGAACGGGTTTAGGGTTCGCAAACCCGACCCGCCCGAACCCGACCCGTGCACACCCCTAAATACAACCAGAAAAGTAACTTCAACCTTACTTTTTCTGCTTATTACACAATTCAGCGCGCGAAAGAAAATATTGCGTGTTTGGTGGAAAAGTTTGTTGATAAGCTTGATAAGCCGAAAAACAGTATTGCCAAATGGCCTCTAGATTTTCAAAACGGGATGATATCATATTTACAATTGCATAGGAAAAAAAGTGTTTGCGATTGCTTCTACTTCAAAAAAAAAGATTTTTTAAAGTGATTTTGAAGAAAATATTTAATGCTGTAGTAAAAGTTGGTAGTGTTTGAGAAAAAAATGATTCTGAAAAAGTAAAAGTTGATAATATTTGATAAAATAAGTATTTTTTGTGTAATAGAAAAAGTGAAAACAATTAAAAAACACTCTTCCACCTGCTTCTAGCTTTTAGCTTTTAAGTGATTAATTTAAGCAGAAAATGTCATTTGAAAATATTCTTTTCAGTTATTTTAAGCCAAAAGTTAAAAAAAAACATTTTTTATAACTTTAACAAACACTGCCTAATTATGCAATAGTTATACCGGAATAGCATATTACTCCGTATTTGTTAGCATTATTAGTTAATGTGTAAATGAATCTATAGAATATAGAAATAATGCACACAATAAATTGCAATTAAGTAAAAGATAGTTACCAATCATAATTGGTACCAAATATGTTTTAAAATAAGATGGAATAAATATTGGGTTGTTTATAAGAATCTAACATACAACAAAAATTGATGTGACTTTTATTTATAGCTATCACATAAACGATCATGACGGGGAATTGCGTTTTTGAAACTTGGAATTTTGATATAATTCATGTGTGCATCATCACACTCTAAATATATTACTTAATCACATTTAATCAACAAATATAATACGAAGTATTATTATAAGGTGTGTTATAATATTATAAGGTGTGATAGAAACAAATCCAATTTAAATTTGAATCAAACCTGGTCCAATTATTATTTAGAACAACCTCAACCCAATTATTTAAAACCCCATTTTTGGTTAAACAACGAACCAGTTAAACACAAGTTACACAACCACCACATTTAAGATACTACCTCTGTCCCGTTTAAAGGTTCTCATGTCAAAATGGCATGATTATTTGGATAATAATTAATATGCTATTTCGAATATATTTAGAGAAATAATTTTGATGAGAAAATAATATAATGAGTTATTGATAATAACTGTAATGTTTTAAATGCATTATTTTTAATATTCGATGATTAAATTATTATTTGAGAGTGTTAATCATATCCTAAAATAGAAAGTGAGGACCTTTAAGTGAGACACCCAAAAAAGGAAAGTGAAAACCTTTAAATGGGACGGAGGAAGTATATGATATGAAATATAATGAAAGTGAAAACCTTTAAAAATATATAATATATTCAGATTTTAAAGTTAAATGAATAAAGGTCATACATATGAGGACCTAATCTTGCTCAATTTTGGAACCACCACAGCCCAAATTTGGATCCAACCCAATCTTTAGTCCTAAAACCGTCCAGTCTACCCAACCCTAAATAATATTAGGGGCGGGCATGGTCGGTAGGCTTGGACCCTGTTTGGGCCACCCGACCTGGCCCGGTACTGCTTGGGCCCGGCCCGGCCCGGACCGGGGAACCGGGGTACCAGGTCTAGGCCCGATTTGAAGGGGAAACCGGGGGTGGGTACAGGCTTAGGGAATTGAGAACCGGCCCGGCAGGTTCCGGTCCCGGTTCGGGCCTTTTCATTTTTGTTTTTTTTTTTGTTTTTTTGGTTTGGGGCTTTGGGCTGGGTTTAAATGGGCTGCCATGGATATTTCAGATGGGTTTGTAAGATATGGGGGGGGGGGGGTAGAGGATAAAATAATCAAGGGAAAAAAAATTAGAACCGGACCCGACACCGACCCGGGCCCGACACCGGTCAACTATCGGGCCGGTCCCGGTTCTCACGAAAAAAAATTTGGGCCCGGGCGAGCCTAGGCCCGACTCAGAACCGGGCCCGGTTCAGTCCATGACTAATAGCGGGTTAACCGTGTTTGTGTTAACCAACTTTCCGGTTAACCGAGAAACTTGTTACTTCGGTTAACCAAAGCTTCGGTTAACCAAACCTCGGTTAACCACGAACCGGTTAACCAATAACCGTAAAACCATAATTGAAAATATTTTATATCATGCCCAGCAACTTTACTTTCTTTACATTTCGAAATTATTAAATGATAGTGCATAATAATTGAACAAAATGGAATACTAATCCAGCAATAAATGACGTTATGCAATATGCTAAGAAAGCAATCCTAAACAAATTCACTAAAATGTAAAAAAGGCAACTGATCAAAAAGAAAGAAATGGATTGAAAATTTTTATGTGATCAAAAACCCGTACTTCACGCCTCCCTCCTAGGGCTGGACTGAACCGGGCCGGTTCGGGCCTCGGGCCTCGGTTCAGAAATATGAGGCCCGAGCCCGAACCGGGGGTGGGCGGTTCCGGGTCCGGTTCCGGGCCGGTTCACCCGGGTATGTAATTTTTTTTTTTGGGTTCTTTTATTTAACCCCTAACCCTCCCCCTCAACCCCAAACCACCCCAAACCACCTCAAATGGCCCAAAATACCTAATCTAACCCAAAACTTAAAAAAATTTCAAAAAAAATAATAATAATAATTCCGGCCCTGACCGGGCCCGAACCGGGCGGGCCGGTTCACCAAATGGAGGGCCCGGAACCGGTATCCATCGAGTCGGGCCGGTTGCTACAGTGGGCAGGCCGGGTCGGTTCCGGGTCGGGCCGCCCGGCCCGAGTCCAGCCCTACTCCCTCCTTCTCAAATTAGTCTTGGACCCAGTTCGGGGCTTCGGGCCATCCGGCCCGGGACCGGCCCAGCCCGCTACTGTGCGGGACCGGGACCGGCACGGTTCTCGGGTCCGGGTTGGGTCTAGGCCCAGTGGGGGTGTGGGTCCGGGCTCGGGTCTTATGTTTGGCAGACCGGCCCGGCCGGGTCATGCCCGGGCCCGGGCCGAATTGATTTTTTTGTATTTTTTTGTTTTTCATTTTTGGGGTTCCACCCGAGTTGGGCTTGATGGTTAGGAGGGGTTTGAGGGGTTTTTTTTTGGGGGGGGGGGGGGGGGGGTGGTGAGGGGGGGTGTTAGGAAAGCAAAAAACAAAAAAAAAAAAAAAACAAATCGGATGCCCGGACCCAGTGGCTACCCAGGCCGGTCCCGGGCCTTCCTTCCCAAAAAAAAAGCCCGGCCGGGCCTGGCCCGGGTCCATACTGACTCAAATGATTAAAAATTTCTATGTGCTCTTGTGGCAATACGTACAAACGGCTGTCTACTGTGAAAAGCTCCAGATGTCTACTAGTAAGTTAGAAACATATTAAGTTTGGCCAAATGTGATCAATGCAGCAGAAATACAAGACTATACCAGTGTTAACAGATACATAACTGCATAAAACTAGAACTGATATACGAAGTCTAGATAAAACTATAACAGATAAAACTCTAGATTTAAACCAAGTCTCGTAATTAATCTCCAAAGCTAAAAAAAGCAGCTCAAGTTTAGAACACAAGTCTTCAGCTTCAAGATTTGTTTCATTTCCCTACAAAAATAAAAGTGACATATTAAAAGTTGGCAGTTGATAAAAAAATAAAAATATATTGCATTGTTGTACATGAAATGAATAAAAACAGAGAAAGTGATGATCGAAAAACATAACTCATTTAAAACAAACTAATTGTAGAAGCTAAACTCACTTGAAATCCACTTTCAGAATTTTTGAGACAATCTTTAAATCTGCTCTTCTTTTATCAGAATATAACTATAACTACTCCTGCCCAACTTCAAGAACTCCATCAACTTCTGTCCCCTCCTGCTGCATGCCAAAACATCCCCATACTAACTTGCAAGAAAAAAATGGACATACTTTTAATACCAAACAGATGCTCACATACAAATATAAACTAATTAAGAGGGAAATGAAAATGGAAAACCGTTGTTTTAAT